GAATTCTACCGGAGATAAAGTTGAATTCGGCTGTGATAAAACGCCATCCTGTTCTAAACCACATCAAGGATTATTTCTGAAACAGTATGGAGCTCAAATGCTTTTTCTCTTGCGGGTTTATCACAAGGTGAGTTCCTTTTGTATTTCCTGCTTTTTAAACACATGTGCTCTCCAGTACAGGTTAGCTCTGAGTGTTAGCGAGGCTAGCTAAAGTAAACAAAGACGAGATTACGTCCAAAACACGTCAGGCATTGTTTCTGATGGCAACTCTCTGTGGGTCCGCTGCCGATTTGACGTCAGATCGGCAGCAAATCTGTATCCGCTCGTTGTACACCGTTTTTAAAAGATTTGGGTACGGCGGAAAAGAGAGAGGGTTTTATTTTCTGACGCTGCGTGAGTTCCCCGACACACCGGGGACACATATTTAATGTATAAAAGACATCACAAAGTGCATTTTGCATGATAGGTCCCCTTTAAGAAATAAACTTAAGCCTACAAAATTAACAAAACAACAAAACCTGACATGAGTGAAAGCGATCCTTTCTGAGCTGAGGCCTGGCACGACCATTCGGGGAAACAAACAAGACGAACTGACACAGGACAGGGGAGAGACAGGACTATTCAAACATGAGGTGAGTGGGAACAGGTGGAAAGAATCAGGGGCGGGGCAGACGCTGATGATGGCGGGAAAAACACACAGGAGGAGGAAGAAACAGGGCCTGGAATGAGAGACACCTGTACTTTCTACTTCTTACATTTTGAACACAAATACCTGTACTTTCTACTTCTTACATGTTGAACACAAATACCTGTACTTTCTACTTCAGAGGTGCCCAGTACGTCGACCGTGGGGCAATGCTGATAGATCGCGAGTCATTCATAAAAAAAAAAACCCAGCCCCGTTAAAATAGACATAACAGGTTTTGATCCCGCCTCCCTGCCACTTAATTCAGGAGTTTACTTGATTGACAGAAAAAGCGACCTATCGCTTTCCAGTCTGTTAACCCAGAATGCAAAGCGATACAAAATCAGTCAAGTGCCGGGAAAACTCAAATTAAGTTAAGGAGACAAACAAGAGACAAACAACAAAATGAGTGCGGGACCGAGCCAAAAGCTAAAGACATAGCCTACCACTTCCACCCAGAATGGGAGGAAGAATATTGTTTGTGATGTCACATTCAAAGGTTATTTGCCTTATTTGTAAAGCAAGCGTCGCTCTGCCAAAGAAAGGTAACGTGGAGAGGCATTATCGGAGTGTTCACAAGGCATATGACAGCGACTTCCCTCCGAGTAGCGAGTGGAGAAAGAGAAAGGTCATGTATTATTGCTACACAAATATTATCTCGCAGTCTTAGTGTCGCCAACTCGTTTCTAACATGCACAAAGACAAACAAAATGCGTCTATGGTCGGTGTATTTTCGACCTTTCCAATCGAGACGAGATCTCTCCTGTACTTTCTACTTCTTACATGTTGAACACAAATACCTGTACTTTCTACTGCTTACACTTTGAACTCAAATACCTGTACTTTCTACTTCTTACATGTTGAACCCAAATACCTGTACTTTCTACTTCTTACATGTTGAACCCAAATACCTGTACTTTCTACTTCTTACATGTTGAACACAAATACCTGTACTTTCTACTTCTTACATGTTGAACACAAATACCTGTACTTTCTACTTCTTACATGTTGAACACAAATACCTGTACTTTCTACTTCTTACATGTTGAACTCAAATACCTGTACTTTCTACTTCTTACATGTTGAACACAAATACCTGTACTTTCTACTTCTTACATGTTGAACACAAATACCTGTACTTTCTACTTCTTACATGTTGAACTCAAATACCTGTACTTTCTACTTCTTACATGTTGAACTCAAATACCTGTACTTTCTACTTCTTACATGTTGAACACAAATACCTGTAGTTTCTACTTCTTATATGTTGAACCCAAATACCTGTACTTTCTACTTCTTATATGTTGAACACAAATACCTGTACTTTCTACTTCTTACATGTTGAACCCAAATACCTGTACTTTCTACTTCTTACATGTTGAACTCAAATACCTGTACTTTCTACTTCTTACATGTTGAACCCAAATACCTGTACTTTCTACTTCTTACATGTTGAACTCAAATACCTGTACTTTCTACTTCTTACATGTTGAACACAAATACCTGAACTTTCTACTTCTTACATGTTGAACTCAAATACCTGTACTTTCTACTTCTTACATGTTGAACACAAATACCTGAACTTTCTACTTCTTACATGTTGAACTCAAATACCTGCACTTTCTACTTCTTACATGTTGAACTCAAATACCTGTACACTCTACTTCTTACATGTTGAACTCAAATACCTGTACTTTCTACTTCTTACATGTTGAACTCAAATACCTGAACTTTCTACTTCTTACATGTTGAACTCAAATACCTGTACTTTCTACTTCTTACATGTTGAACACAAATACCTGAACTTTCTACTTCTTACATGTTGAACTCAAATACCTGCACTTTCTACTTCTTACATGTTGAACTCAAATACCTGTACTTTCTACTTCTTACATGTTGAACTCAAATACCTGTACTTTCTACTTCTCACATGTTGAACTCAAATACCTGTACTTTCTACTTCTTACTGTACTTTCTACTTCTTACTGTACTTTCTACTTCTTACTGTACTTTCTACTTCTTACATGTTGAACTCAAATACCTGAACTTTCTACTTCTCACATGTTGAACTCAAATACCTGTACTTTCTACTTCTTACTGTACTTTCTACTTCTTACTGTACTTTCTACTTCTTACTGTACTTTCTACTTCTTACATTTGCAAAACACTTTAGTTTTAATCTGCGTTTGGTGGCGTGATCATTATTATTTAGAGTCATTGTTGTGCATATTGATTGTTGAGGTAAGCAAGTCAAACACAATATTATAATCACTCCACCACACGCTGAGGTTTTCAGTTCCTCCACCCGCACTGTTTGTTTTCTGGCTGTTGGTTAACAAGCCAGCAGCGAGCGCACATTTAATCTCAGCACACATAAACACAGGCTTTTATATTTACACAAGGACTACCTAGGAAACCCTCACACACACACACACACACACACACACACACACACACACACACACACACACACACACACACACACACACACACACACACACACACACACACACACACACAGTCATTTTCTGAAGCATATAATAACAGTTTGGGAGCAGCTTGTTCAGACTTCCAAACGTATGTTGGCCCTCCAAACAAAAGGCATAAACAATAATTTGAATAAATGGAGGTAATTTCCTGCGGCAGAATGTCTAATCAGAGTCGCATTCTGCTGGAGGACCTCGACTGTGTGCATGTGTGTGTGTGTGGAAGGAAACATTGAAGAGAGTTTTCAGGAATGCATGCAGAGAGAGACATAGAGGAGGGGGAAAAATTATATCCCAAACTACCCGTCGTTTCTTTGCCAAGGCTGCTGGCCAACCGGAGAACACTTGGTCCATCTGCGCGAGATAAGAGCCTCTCAGGCCTCCAAAACATTTACAAAATACCCGCTAACAACCCGTTCATTACTCTTTGTCTCCGTTGAGCTGTTTATCGCCCTCCCCTTTTCTCCCGCCATCTCTGGCTCGTTACGGGAACTCTGGTGATGTTCGTTCGTTATCTATATTCTTTCAACATTTTCGTACTGAAAGAAAGGTTTGAGGTTTTATAGATAGTTCCTTTATTAGTCGAAGTTGCCCTGCACCTCCACACAGGTGTCATGTTGGGAGGATGGATCCTGAAAAGCCTGCAAACTACTCGTAAGAAACGAAAAGGTGAAAAGAGTGTCTGCCCTAACAGGTGCAAGAAATCTAACAGAGTGTGAAATGCTAATGAAGCGTCACACACACACACACACACACACACACACACACACACACACACACACACACGTACCATGTATACATCACTTCAGGGGACATTACATTGACTTACATGCATTTCCTGGAGACTTATCCTAACCTTAACCATAACCAACACATGCCTAATCCTAACCCTTAACCTTACCCTAACCAAGTCTTCACCCTAAAATTAATGACTCCCCTCATGGGGACCTCCAATTTGTCCCCATAAGGGAGGCGAGTCCCCACACGTGACTATGTAAACATATTTAGGTCCCCACAAGTATAGTAATGCTAGACCACACACACACACACACACACACACTGAGAAGAGGTCTAATCAGGCACAATAAGTGAAAACACCTGTAGGGCCATCGAAAAACATTCAACATTTGGGAATTTTGACTTCTCTAAAATGTAGAAAAATCGTCTTTTACGAATAACATTTATCGAAGTTAGGAATCAACTATTTTGTTTGTTATCTGAGAAAATATGACGATTATGACTTAGACCGACAGTCTTCATTTTCATTGAGAAAACACCACAGAACAAATAAAATGTTGTTATTATTATAATGGTTGCCAGCTGTTGTTGTTGACACTGTACTCTGAGAAAAACAGATGCTCACGAATCAGAAAATGATTGATCCGTATATTTTTGCGCAGCTCATTTAATCTTCTTACTTTGAACCAGATGGTTTCTCATTAAAACCCTCATGTGACTCAACTTTCATCCGTTTTAATGAGGTTCGTTTTCTATACATCATCGTTTGACTTTGTAGGCAGTTTGTGAATCAAACTTTAAGACTTTTAGATTAGTATAACTGATATATCTGGCTTTACTTTTGGGTTTCACACACTTCTGTTCCGGGTTTGTCTGCGGGAGTTCTTGATTCTGCCAAGAGTGCCCAACTGAGTTTTTGTGAAAACAGCTGGAGGATGTTTTGGATATTATGGCCACCAGCCCAGTTGATGCAGCAGCTGTTCGACTCTGTGCCCGATTTAAAACATTCTGGAAAATGTGGAATGAAGCGTCTCCAAACGGTTGACAACACGGTTTTTCAAGGTATTTGACACATCTTTTGTTTCCTTCAGCTTCAGCCACGGTGGAGGACTTCCAGATCCGTCCTCACTGCCTGTTCGTTCACTCGTACCGAGCTCCAACCTTCTGTGATCACTGTGGAGAGATGCTGTGGGGACTCGTCCGACAGGGACTCAAGTGTGAAGGTACACCTCTACTGACAATATTACTTATTATATTAGTGCATAATAGTTAGTTTTATTGACTTTTAAATGTGTATCCTTCTTAGATTGAGCATTGTGTTTATGGGAGTGGATTGCATCGGTTTAAAGGTCACCTATTGTGCAAAATACACTTCCTCATGTCTCTTCTTCATCAACATGTGTCCTCTCTTCCTCATGTCTCTTCTACATCAACATGTGTCCCCTCTTCTTCATGTCTCTTCTACATCAACATGTGTCCCCTCTTCTTCATGTCTCTTCTACATCAACATGTGTCCCCTCTTCTTCATGTCTCTTCTACATCAACATGTGTCCCCTCTTCTTCATGTCTCTTCTACATCAACATGTGTCCCCTCTTCTTCATGTCTCTTCTACATCAAAATGTGTCCCCTCTTCTTCATGTCTCTTCTTCATCAACATGTGTCCCCTCTTCTTCATGTCTCTTCTACATCAACATGTGTCCCCTCTTCTCCATGTCTCTTCTACATCAACATGTGTCCCCTCTTCTTCATGTCTCTTCTACATCAACATGTGTCCCCTCTTCTTCATGTCTCTTCTACATCAACATGTGTCCCCTCTTCTTCATGTCTCTTCTACATCAAAATGTGTCCCCTCTTCTTCATGTCTCTTCTTCATCAACATGTGTCCCCTCTTCTTCATGTCTCTTCTACATCAACATGTGTCCCCTCTGTGGAAAGAGACTCTGAAAGTTTCAGGAACAAAGATTCTCTCTCTTTTTGATCCATTTCTATAAAAACCTGTCTGAAAATGAGCTGATCAGATTTTGGCGACTTGATGATGTCATAACGATGTTTTGTCTTGTGTAACCATTAGCCAATCACCAACCACGGTAACCCCCCCCCCCCCCTTATCACCTGAATCTCCTCCTAGAGCACCATTGAGTTCTTTGTAACCAAATGTCTCTCAGAGGGGCGTGGGGAGGGGCTCCTTATTTTCATCTAAAGTAACAGACAGAGAATCAGCACAGGGCTGAAACAGAGGGGATTATGGGTAATGCTGCAATGATCTGTTGCTGCAATGATCTGTTTGGTGTTTCAGCCAATCAGAGACAGGCTCTGTATATATCTGAGACCTGTGATGTATTGATGAAAAACAGTATGATAGGGGACCTTTAACTTGTTTTTGGAGCAGCATTGTTTCCAGTGTTGTTGTCTTTCTTTCTGTCCAGGCTGCGGACTGAACTATCACAAGCGTTGTGCCTTTAAAATCCCAAATAACTGCAGTGGAGTGAGGAGGAGGCGTCGCTCCTCCAATGTTTCCCTGACAGGAGGGCTTATAAACCTCGGACGCCACCTTTCTGCCGAGCCCTCACCCCCCCATTACACCGATGAGGCGTTACTGGTCAGTGGATAATATAGAGTTCATCTTAAACATGTCTATCTGGGGATTTCTGGAGGACTTGAAATGTTTTGTTGGTGCACACCTAGTTACAGAGTAGTGGAGTACAAATACTTTGTTACTGTACTTAAGTACATGTTTCTGGTATCAGCACTTTACTCCAATACTTATTTTTCTGACCACTTTTTACTTTGACTTCTTACATGTTGAACACAAATACCTGTACTTTCTACTTCTCACATGTTGAACTCAAATACCTGTACTTTCTACTTCTTACATGTTGAACTCAAATACCTGTACTTTCTACTTCTTACATGTTGAACACAAATACCTGTACTTTCTACTTCTTACATGTTGAACTCAAATACCTGTACTTTCTACTTCTTACATGTTGAACTCAAATACCTGTACTTTCTAGCTTTCTTACATGTGAACTCAAATACCATGTACTTTTCTACTTCTCACATGTTGAACTCCAAATGACCTGTACTTTCTACTTCTACATGTTTGAACACAATACTGTACTTTCTACTTCTTACATGTTGAACTCAATACCTGCTACTTGCTACTTCTTACATGTGAAACTTCACATACCGTACTTTCTACTTCTTTACATGTTGACTCAAATACCTGTACTTTCTACTTCTTACATGTTGAACATCAAATACCTGTACTTTCTACTTCTTACATGTTGAACTCAAATACCTGTACTTTCTACTTCTTACATGTTGAACTCAACTACTACTCGTACAGTGAAACACAAATACCTTTCTCTACTTCTCACATGTTGAACTCAAATACCTGTACTTTCTACTTCTTACATGTTGAACTCAAATACCCTGTACTTTCTACTTCTTACATGTTGAACACAAATACCTGTACTTTCTACTTCTTACATGTTGAACTCAAATACCTGTACTTTCTACTTCTTACATGTTGAACTCAAATACCTGTACTTTCTAATTCTTACATGTTGAACTCAAATACCTGTACTTTCTACTTCTCACATGTTGACTCAAATACCTGTACTTTCTACTTCTCACATGTTGAACACAAATACCTGTACTTTCTACTTCTCACATGTTGAACTCAATACCTGTACTTTCTACCTTCTCACATGTTGAACACAAATACCTGTACTTTCTACTTCTTACATGTTGAACACAAATACCTGTACTTTCTACTTCTCACATGTTGAACTCAAATACCTGTACTTTCTACTTCTCACATGTTGAACTCAAATACCTGTACTTTCTACTTCTCACATGTTGAACACAAATACCTGTACTTTCTACTTCTTACATGTTGAACTCAAATACCTGAACTTTCTACTTCTCACATGTTGAACACAAATACCTGTACTTTCTACTTCTTACATGTTGAACTCAAATACCTGAACTTTCTACTTCTCACATGTTGAACTCAAATACCTGTACTTTCTACTTCTTACATGTTGAACTCAAATACCTGTACTTTCTACTTCTCACATGTTGAACTCAAATACCTGTACTTTCTACTTCTTACATGTTGAACTCAAATACCTGTACTTTCTACTTCTCACATGTTGAACTCAAATACCTGTACTTTCTACTTCTTACATGTTGAACACAAATACCTGTACTTTCTACTTCTTACATGTTGAACTCAAATACCTGTACTTTCTACTTCTCACATGTTGAACACAAATACCTGTACTTTCTACTTCTCACATGTTGAACACAAATACCTGTACTTTCTACTTCTTACATGTTGAACTCAAATACCTGTACTTTCTACTTCTCACATGTTGAACTCAAATACCTGTACTTTCTACTTCTCACATGTTGAACACAAATACCTGTACTTTCTACTTCTTACATGTTGAACTCAAATACCTGTACTTTCTACTTCTTATATGTTGAACTCAAATACCTGTACTTTCTACTTCTTACATGTTGAACTCAAATACCTGTACTTTCTACTTCTCACATGTTGAACTCAAATACCTTTACTTTCTACTTCTCACATGTTGAACCCAAATACCTGTACTTTCTACTTCTTATATGTTGAACTCAAATACCTGTACTTTCTACTTCTTACATGTTGAACTCAAATACCTGTACTTTCTACTTCTCACATGTTGAACTCAAATACCTGTACTTTCTACTTCTTACACTTTGAACTCAAATACCTGTACTTTCTACTTCTTACACTTTGAACCCAAATACCTGTACTTTCTACTTCTTACATGTTGAACTCAAATACCTGTACTTTCTACTTCTTACACTTTGAACTCAAATACCTGTACTTTCTACTTCTTACACTTTGAACCCAAATACCTGTACTTTCTACTTCTTACATGTTGAACTCAAATACCTGTACTTTCTACTTCTTACATGTTGAACTCAAATACCTGTACTTTCTACTTCTTACATGTTGAACTCAAATACCTGTACTTTCTACTTCTTACATGTTGAACTCAAATACCTGTACTTTCTACTGCTTACATGTTGAACCCAAATACCTGTACTTTCTACTTCTTTCATGTTGAACTCAAATACCTGTACTTTCTACTTCTTACATGTTGAACTCAAATACCTGTACTTTCTACTTCTTACATGTTGAACTCAAATACCTGTACTTTCTACTTCTTACATGTTGAACACAAATATCTGTACTTTCTACTTCTTACATGTTGAACTCAAATACCTGTACTTTCTACTTCTCACATGTTGAACACAAATACCTGTACTTTCTACTTCTCACATGTTGAACTCAAATACCTGTACTTTCTACTTCTTACATGTTGAACTCAAATACCTGTACTTTCTACTTCTTACATGTTGAACACAAATACCTGTACTTTCTACTTCTTACATGTTGAACTCAAATACCTGTACTTTCTACTGCTTACATGTTGAACCCAAATACCTGTACTTTCTACTTCTTTCATGTTGAACTCAAATACCTGTACTTTCTACTTCTTACATGTTGAACTCAAATACCTGTACTTTCTACTTCTTACATGTTGAAACTCAAATACCTGTACTTTCTACTTCTTACATGTTGAACTCAAATACCTGTACTTTCTACTTCTTACATGTTGAACTCAAATACCTGTACTTTCTACTTCTTACATGTTGAACTCAAATACCTGTACTTTCTACTTCTTACATGTTGAACTCAAATACCTGTACTTTCTACTTCTTACATGTTGAACTCAAATACCTGTACTTTCTACTTCTTACATGTTGAACTCAAATACCTGTACTTTCTACTTCTTACATGTTGAACTCAAATACCTGTACTTTCTACTTCTTACATGTTGAACACAAATACCTGTACTTTCGACTTCTTACATGTTGAACTCAAATACCTGTACTTTCTACTTCTCACATGTTGAACTCAAATACCTGTACTTTCGACTTCTTACATGTTGAACTCAAATACCTGTACTTTCTACTTCTTACATGTTGAACACAAATACCTGTACTTTCTACTTCTCACATGTTGAACTCAAATACCTGTACTTTCTACTTCTTACATGTTGAACTCAAATACCTGAACTTTCTACTTCTTACATGTTGAACCCAAATACCTGTACTTTCTACTTCTTACATGTTGAACTCAAATACCTGTACTTTCTACTTCTTACATGTTGAACTCAAATACCTGTACTTTCTACTTCTTACATGTTGAACCCAAATACCTGTACTTTCTACTTCTTACATGTTGAACCCAAATACCTGTACTTTCTACTTCTTACATGTTGAACTCAAATACCTGTACTTTCTACTTCTTACATGTTGAACTCAAATACCTGTACTTTCTACTTCTTACATGTTGAACTCAAATACCTGTACTTCTACTTCTTACATGTTGAACTCAAATAACCTGAACTTTCTACTTCTTACATGTTGAACACAAATACCTGTACTTTCTACTTCTTACATGTTGAACTCAAATACCTGTACTTTCTACTTCTTACATGTTGAACTCAAATACCTGTACTTTCTACTTCTTACATGTTGAACTCAAATACTTGTACTTTCTACTTCTCTCATTTCCCAAACAGCTGGTTCCTTTAGTCTGAATGTGTGTTTGATGCGTGATCATTATTCTTTAGAGTCATTGCGTGCCTATTGATTTGAACACGATCCGTGTATCCATCATTTCCTGGTCTTCTCTAAAGAAGAGGGACCAATGGAAACGTTGTCATGTTGCCGTTGTTCAGCATGGAAACATTCATTAGCTAACAATGACATTATTGTTCTATTAATATAAAGGGAGGTCAGGTACTCTTTAAAACAGCTGCTAGTTATGGGTACTTTTTACTGAAGTACATTTCAAAGTTCTTTAGTTTTACTTGAGGAAAGAAGTTTAGTCAGTACTTCTACTTTCACCATTTTTAAACACGAGTATCTGTACTTCTACTTGAGGAAAGGATGTGAGTACTTTGCCATCTCTGCCTGGTTAACAATGCAGCACAAACCCTTTTTTCAATACACAGACGTTCATTCGATCTTTAAATTATGATTTAAACGTTTAAATAATCGAATGAAGATCTGGACAGCAAAACATTTGTATTAACAATCTGTGTGTTATATCATCAAAATGCACCGTGATTATTTTTAACAATGCTTCTTGACATCATTCAGTCCGAGACAAAAGCAGCGTCTGGTTTTTTAGCTTGCTATTGCGATTTTGCCATCTGTGGACAGCAGGTTTTAATCGTGCTACCAATTACCATGACAGCTGAGAGGAACAGATCCCTGCAAAAAGGCTCCTAATTATTCGTGTGAAAGTGCTTTTGTTGGTGGTGATGATTAATGCTACAAGATGACTGAAACACACAGATCCACACTTGATGATGCAAAAGAAACATATGTTCAGGAAACAGCAAAAGATAAGACAATAGAAAATGCTCATATCACTAACTGATGAGTTATGACTGTTGTCTTAAACCACCTAGTTGATTCAATTCAACTGGCGTATCAGTGAAGTGTTCTTTAATCACAACTAGAGATGGCAAAAGTACACACATCCTTTCCTCAAGTAGAAGTACAGATACTCGTGTTTAAAAATTGTGAAAGTAGAAGTACTGACTAAACTTCTTTACTCAAGTCAAAGTAAAGAGGCTTTGAAGTGTACTTCAGTAAAAAGTACCCATAACTAGCAGCTGCTTTAAAGAGTACCTGACCTCCCTTTATATTAATAGAACAATAATGTCATTGTTAGCTAATGAATGTTTCCATGCTGAACAACGGCAACATGACAACGTTTCCATTGGTCCCTCTTCTTTAGAGAAGACCAGGAAATGATGGATACACGGATCGTGTTCAAATCAATAGGCACGCAATGACTCTAAAGAATAATGATCACGCATCAAACACACATTCAGACTAAAGGAACCAGCTGTTTGGAAAATGAGAGAAGTAGAAAGTACAAGTATTTGAGTTCAACATGTGAGAAGTAGAAAGTACAGGTATTTGAGTTCAACATGTAGGAAGTAGAAAGTACAGGTATTTGAGTTCAACATGTAGGAAGTAGAAAGTACAGGTATTTGAGTTCAACATGTAAGAAGTAGAAAGTACAGGTATTTGTGTTCAACATGTGAGAAGTAGAAAGTACAGGTATTTGAGTTCAACATGTAGGAAGTAGAAAGTACAGGTATTTGAGTTCAACATGTAGGAAGTAGAAAGTACAGGTATTTGAGTTCAACATGTAAGAAGTATAAAGTACAGGTATTTGAGTTCAACATGTAGGAAGTAGAAAGTACAGGTATTTGAGTTCAACAAGTAAGAAGTATAAAGTACAGGTATTTGAGTTCAACATGTAAGAAGTAGAAAGTACAGGTATTTGAGTTCAACATGTAAGAAGTAGAAAGTACAGGTATTTGTGTTCAACATGTGAGAAGTAGAAAGTACAGGTATTTGTGTTCAACATGTAAGAAGTAGAAAGTATAGGTATTTGTGTTCAACATGTGAGAAGTAGAAAGTACAGGTATTTGGGTTCAACATGTAAGAAGTAGAAAGTACAGGTATTTGAGTTCAACATGTAAGAAGTAGAAAGTACAGGTATTTGAGTTCAACATGTAAGAAGTAGAAAGTACAGGTATTTGAGTTCAACATGTGAGAAGTAGAAAGTACAGGTATTTGAGTTCAACATGTAAGAAGTAGAAAGTACAGGTATTTGAGTTCAACATGTAAGAAGTAGAAAGTACAGGTATTTGAGTTCAACATGTAAGAAGTAGAAAGTACAGGTATTTGAGTTCAACATGTAAGAAGTAGAAAGTACAGGTATTTGAGTTCAACATGTAAGAAGTAGAAAGTACAGGTATTTGAGTTCAACATGTAAGAAGTAGAAAGTACAGGTATTTGAGTTCAACATGTAAGAAGTAGAAAGTACAGGTATTTGGGTTTCAACATGTAAGAAGTAGAAAGTTCAGGTATTTGAGTTCAACATGTAAGAAGTAGAAAGTACAGGTATTTGGGTTCAACATGTAAGAAGTAGAAAGTACAGGTATTTGAGTTCAACATGTAAGAAGTAGAAAGTACAGGTATTTGAGTTCAACATGTAAGAAGTAGAAAGTACAGGTATTTGGGTTCAACATGTAAGAAGTAGAAAGTACAGGTATTTGAGTTCAACATGTAAGAAGTAGAAAGTACAGGTATTTGGGTTCAACATGTAAGAAGTAGAAAGTACAGGTATTTGAGTTCAACATGTGAGAAGTAGAAAGTACAGGTATTGGGTTCAACATGTAAGCAGTAGAAAGTACAGGTATTTGAGTTCAACATGTAAGAAGTAGAAAGTACAGGTATTTGAGTTCAACATGAAAGAAGTAGAAAGTACAGGTATTTGGGTTTCAACATGTAAGCAGTAGAAAGTACAGGTATTTGAGTTCAACATGTAAGAAGTAGAAAGTACAGGTATTTGAGTTCAACATGTAAGAAGTAGAAAGTACAGGTATTTGAGTTCAACATGTAAGAAGTAGAAAGTACAGGTATTTGAGTTCAACATGTAAGAAGTAGAAAGTACAGGTATTTGAGTTCAACATGTGAGAAGTAGAAAGTACAGGTATTTGAGTTCAACATGTAAGAAGTAGAAAGTACAGGTATTTGAGTTCAACATGTAAGAAGTAGAAAGTACAGGTGTTTGAGTTCAACATGTAAGAAGTAGAAAGTACAGGTATTTGAGTTCAACATGTAAGAAGTAGAAAGTACAGGTATTTGAGTTCAACATGTAAGAAGTAGAAAGTACAGGTATTTGAGTTCAACATGTAAGAAGTAGAAAGTACAGGTATTTGAGTTCAACATGTAAGAAGTAGAAAGTACAGGTATTTGAGTTCAACATGTAAGAAGTAGAAAGTACAGGTATTTGGGTTCAACATGTAAGAAGTAGAAAGTTCAGGTATTTGAGTTCAACATGTAAGAAGTAGAAAGTACAGGTATTTGGGTTCAACATGTAAGAAGTAGAAAGTACAGGTATTTGAGTTCAACATGTAAGAAGTAGAAAGTACAGGTATTTTGAGTTCAACATGTAAGAAGTAGAAAGTACAGGTATTTGGGTTCAACATGTAAGAAGTAGAAAGTACAGGTATTTGAGTTCAACATGTAAGAAGTAGAAAGTACAGGTATTTGAGTTCAACATGTGAGAAGTAGAAAGTACAGGTATTTGGTTTCAACATGTAAGAAGTAGAAAGTACAGGTATTTGTGTTCAACATGTGAGAAGTAGAAAGTACAGGTATTTGTGTTCAACATATAAGAAGTAGAAAGTACAGGTATTTGAGTTCAACATGTAAGAAGTAGAAAGTACAGGTATTTGTGTTCAACATAAGAAGTAGAAAGTACAGGTATTTGTGTTCAACATGTAAGAAGTAGAAAGTACAGGTATTTGAGTTCAACATGTAAGAAGTAGAAAGTACAGGTATTTGAGTTCAACATGTAAGAAGTAGAAAGTACAGGTATTTGAGTTCAACATGTAAGAAGTAGAAAGTACAGGTATTTGAGTTCAACATGTAAGAAGTAGAAAGTTCAGGTATTTGAGTTCAACATGTAAGAAGTAGAAAGTACATGTATTTGAGTTCAACATGTAAGAAGTAGAAAGTACAGGTATTTGAGTTCAACATGTAAGAAGTAGAAAGTACAGGTATTTGTGTTCAACATGAAAGAAGTAGAAAGTACAGGTATTTGAGTTCAACATGTGAGAAGTAGAAAGTACAGGTATTTGGGTTCAACATGTAAGCAGTAGAAAGTACAGGTATTTGAGTTCAACATGTAAGAAGTAGAAAGTACAGGTATTTGAGTTCAACATGTAAGAAGTAGAAAGTACAGGTATTTGAGTTCAACATGTAAGAAGTAGAAAGTACAGGTATTTGAGTTCAACATGTGAGAAGTAGAAAGTACAGGTATTTGAGTTCAACATGTAAGAAGTAGAAAGTACAGGTATTTGAGTTCAACATGTAAGAAGTAGAAAGTACAGGTATTTGAGTTCAACATGTGAGAAGTAGAAAGTACAGGTATTTGTGTTCAACATGTGAGAAGTAGAAAGTACAGGTATTTGAGTTCAACATGTAAGAAGTAGAAAGTACAGGTATTTGAGTTCAACATGTAAGAAGTAGAAAGTACAGGTATTTGAGTTCAACATGTAAGAAGTAGAAAGTACAGGTATTTGTGTTCAACATGTGAGAAGTAGAAAGTACAGGTATTTGTGTTCAAAATGTAAGAAGTAGAAAGTACAGGTATTGGAGTAAAGTACTGATACCAGAACATGTACTTAAGTACAGTAACAAAGTATTTGTACTCCACTACTTCCCACCTCTGTTCACAACAATCACGCTCTAACTGTTGTTCTTTCTTTTGTTGTCTTTCGCTGTGCTGCAGTCTCCAGTCAGTCCCAGCATGGAGGTAAATATAAGAGATATATTGATCTATTGTGACACTTTTTTTAGTTTTTTGTTCACTGTTATCCAAACTCACTAATAATCTCTTTGAGATTGTTTAGCATAACAACATGGGATTTTAGGTCAAGTAAAATTGTTGATTTAAAGATTGGCAAAAGTTACTTTAAGTTATTTTACTACTTTAATTGTATATTCCAATAATGCTTTTATGTGTCTCTTTGCAGCAGAAAGCCCAGTTAGATTACTTCCCAGGGAGAGAGCGTCGTGCCAGCTCTCAGTCGTACGTCGGACGTCCCATCGAACTAGACAAGATCTTACTGTCCAAAGTTAAAGTTCCTCACACTTTCCTGATCCACTCGTACACCCGACCCACGATCTGCCAGCACTGCAAGAAGCTGCTGAAAGGACTCTTCAGACAAGGCCTGCAGTGTAAAGGTAAACGTCCTGTTTTCATCCCTTCTGTAAAATATAACACAACCATTACGCATCTTTTGTCAAGTACAATGTCCCTAAACAGTCAGATTATCAAAGGTACTTTGTGACCACAGAGTGTGAACGTTGTGATCAGCTGTTTTAGCGCAGTGCTCCAGTGAAGGGGGGGAGTCTCCCTCCGCAGCCGGTTGGCGTAGTTTTGGCACAATTCCGTTGTACAGACCGACGTTAACTGCAGCCTGTCTGTGCACACGGAGACCGACTCTGTCGTCCGGTGATCTAACCGCCTTCTGGAAAAGCTTCACAAGTACGTCAGTACGCAAATGTGCTTTGTGACACAAGTGACGGTACGCATTTCAGATTGTTGCCGCGTACGAGTTATGTGCACCCCTGATCATAGGGGACCTTTAAGGTTTCATCCTTTAGAGCAGTGGTTCTCAAACTTTTGTCAATAATGTTCCCCCTTTGAAAAGAATATTCAGCCACGTACCCGCTGATCAGCGCAGAAACCATTTGTCAGGGACAGAATGCCTATAAAGAGGTACAGCACAGCGCTGCACCATCAGTGTCTGAGTTATTAAAACAACAACTGAGAAACACTTAAATGCTACATTTCAAATGTTTACAATCCATCACTAAATTCATGGCAAACCAATTTTAACATCATGCAATAACATTAAGACGACATTAGCTGCTTTGAACTGATCTTTTTAATAAGTTGTACAATGTAGTGAAACATGGGCTTGAGCTTCACTGAGGATCTTTGTCATTCTGACAGGGAGGCAACCTGCAGTTATTACACAAACCCACACTGCTCAAACTTCGTTACTTTTCCTAAAATTGGTATATTTATTTATTTTGGGGCGTGGGGAATGAAGAGAAAAAAGATATGAGCATTTTATGAGCATGGGATTTTGACCCCTCATATAAACATATGCATATACTTTGCGGCCACACGCCGTTGCCAAGCAACGCTTATTGTTTAAGCAGGCAGTCATATCATTAACTAGAACTAGCTAGATCTGATAGATTTGGACATAAACGCGAGTGAAGTCTAACCGGACGCGAGAGAGAGAGGTCAGAGATCCGATCAGCTGCTGCTGACGGAGAACACGAGGCTGCATGATCACAGCTCCGCCGCTGTGACGGACCGTTGAGCAAAATACACTAAGAGTTAGACCTAACACACTTAGCTAGTTCATCTACTCTGGAACTAGCTAAACTAGTTATACATATATGTATTCTTTACTGTCGGGTCACTCATTACAGGTTCAGCGAGCTGCACGAGACTGACGGGCTGTCAGGAGAGGGAGAGGAAAAGAGAGCACCCCGTTTATTGTTCCCATGTTATTATCCAGAGTTTCTGTAAACCTTTGAATAAAGTCTTTCATCTACTATTAGTAGTTTGTTTAAATGCATTAATTATGTTTTTTTTTTTCATTAACATAAAATAAATCTCACGTACCCCCTGCAGTACTCCAACGTACCCCTAGGGGTCCGCGTACCCCCATTTGAGAACCACTGCTTTAGAGACCAGCAATGGGATCAGGGAATTTATTGACATCTGATATGTAAATATAAAGGAATGTTTAATTTGGTGTGTTCAACAAGTTACTTTAATGACAACAACAACTTTTAATTTGTTGTTTTTCAAGCCCAAAACCCTTAGAAAATATGTTTTTAGAGACAATCCTGACGCTCTAGATTTGCTAACAATGCGGGAAGTAGTCAAGAATAAAAGAAAAACAGAGATACAGGTCAGGCTAGAAAGAGACTGGCACTTAAAAACGAAAACGTCATGCTTTTATAACCTTATGAGGGAGTCTCATCCACCCAAATGTGCAGGCCTTAAGAGATGCTGGGAGCAGGACATAGGGGAAGAGATAACTGGTGAAACATGGGGGGACATTATTGGGTCATGGTTTCAAGTTTCAAGGGAAATACAGACACGTCTGATTAATTATAAAGTCATCAATAGAACATATTGGACTCCAAGTAAAATGGCAAGGCTAGGACTCAGAGGCTCTGACTTGTGTTGGAGATGTGATACATGTGGCACTCTACTGCACATGTTGTATTCATGCCCCATGATAGATATCTTATGGTCGAAGATTGGTACCTTCATTAATACAGTTCAGTCAGACAACTCACGTGTTCCTTTAACATGTTTATTAGAAGCAGCATATAGTTGAGTTTGGCGACTAGGCTCGGGCATCATCACTCCATAGATATACATAGCACGATGAGTGATGATTAAAGAACTAACCCCCGAGCCTACAGGTGGAAGCTGGGGTGGAAGCTGGGGTGGTGGTGGGGCAGGCAAGCAGCAGCGACGTAGAGGTAGCTGCAGCAATAGCAGCAGCAAGCAATGCATGGAGAGAGATCTGGCAGGTTCAATAGAGCGGCATATTAAGGAGACTCTGTTTGGTTGGTTGTAGAGTAGCAAGGGGGCGTTATGTATGAATGCAGCATAAGTGCTCGAGTTGACTGCCTGAACTAGCTCGCAGGCTTCGCCCCATTAATGACCTCCTCTCTGGCACAGGGACCAATGCTAGGTATGGTATGTTAGAAATTAAAATCAATGTTGGTATGGCGTAATTTGAATTAAACACACTATTTAATTTAAATCAGTTTTATTCTGAAAAAACCGGAAGTTCACACTATTAACTTAACACTTTTATTCTGAATAGTCTTCATTTCCGGTTAGCATTAGCATGTGGCGAAATGCTACGTTTTCAAACCGTGAATCGAAGGTGAAATGACATGTGATGTTGTACACTGAGCACACTGGGATTAGCACTCATTTATTGACGCTGAATAACGTTTATTAGGGAATGTTTAAATAACCACAGACACCAGAATGATGTAATTTAGCAACAGAAAAAGGCAGGAATTGCATTGGACCCGCCCCCCACGACGCCGGCCAATAGGAGAAGACCTCAGATGACAACAGGAAGAGCAGGCCAATCATTTATCTCTTCACCCCCTGACCTGTACTGACCGGACGCATGGGGGGAGAGCCGCCACTCGCACATTTCATTTTGTGCATCTTTTGTGTAATTAAATGCTGTTAACTTTTATAAGCTTCCCTTGACTCTTTTCAGTCTCTCCTGCCTTCAGGGTTCTAGAATACACTAACAGGTACCAAAGGAAAGTGGTCTGAATGCCCATCAGATCTCATGGTGCAGAATAGCACTTATTACTGGATGTAGGAAAGTGGTGCGACATTGGAAAACTAGAGGGGATATATCCTTTAAGGAATGGATGGACGAAATAGCCAAAATCTCCTCCTATGAAAGATTATGCTATAAGATGATAAATAGAATGGATATCTACATGAAATATGGGGCCCTTTTGTGGCGGTGACTTGAAGTGCTGGAGAGCTCCACCCTTTCAAATAATTGAAAACCCAAAATAAAGTTATAATGTGATGTATTTTATGTATATAATGTGTTGTATTGTAGTATGTGCAGGATGGTTTACATACCGCGTATCATGTATATCGTGTATGCCATGGATGATGCTCTACCTCTGTGATGTTCCCTTTGTCCGTCTTGTCAGTTATTGTCCTGTCTGTGTTTGCCGTGGTACTTTGATATCTTGATATGTGATACATTTAGCAGGCTGTGTTGTTATGTATGTATGTTTTTATTTTTCTGGAAAGAAAGAATACAAATGAAAGAAAGGACTGTTCATGAAAAACTGTTATAATGTAGTGTAGTACTTAAACCTTTTAGCCCAGCAAGCATTCATCTGTTTGTTGATTTTGTAAAGCACAGCGGTCGATTCAATGGAACAATGTCAAACCAAGCTATATTTATGTGAATAAAGGCAAAATGCGTAGGATTTGAAACCATAACACCATGACTAAAGAGTAAAATAACAACAATTATTGTTAGGTTAACTGCTTGTGGTCTTCATGAGGGTCATTGAAAACCCGAACCAAAAGAAAAGCCACTTTTACCTTCTTCATGAACCTTGGAAGTAGTTAGAGTTGTGCCAGCGACTGCTCCTCTGTTTCTACAGGAGAACATTTTAGAAGTTAAAAGGATAAAGCTTTTTAATTCAACATTGTATTTTGTCAAGTGTTTGATTTTAAACCTGTTCTGATCTAATGGCTTGTTTCTCCCATAGATTGTAAATTCAACTGTCATAAGCGATGTGCTCCAAAAGTGCCGAACAACTGCCTGGGAGAGGTTTCAAGAAATGAAGGCAAGTTTCATATTTATGATCCTATCCAAGCTACATTCACAAACACACTGCAAACTTTGATCATAAACCTAATTATAACCTTGATACTGAAACCGAGTCTTAATGTGCTCACTGGCTCTTCTTTGTTGTATTTTATTCTAGCAAGAAGTTCAGTCAATCATACTGTTATGATTATGATATCACTGGTCACCAGCTTGAGCTTCGATCTCAGGATCCATGTATTTATTATCCTCTCAAGAATGGAAGTAGTCATCGCATACAGCTTATACATGTATATCAAAAAGTTTTTCTCAAAATTCTGACTTTCTCAAAATCTCAAAATTCTGACTTTCTCTCAAAATTCTGACTTTTTCTCAAAAGTCTGACTTTCTCAAAATTCCGACTTTTTCTCAAAATCCTGACTTTTCTCAAAATCTCAAAATTCTGACTTTCTCTCAAAATTCTGACTTTCTCTCCAAATTCTGACTTTCTCTCAAAATTCTGACTTTCTCTCCAAATTCTGACTTTTTCTCAAAATCAAAAAATTCTGACTTTTTCTCAAAATTCTGACTTTCTCTCAAAAGTCTGACTTTTTCTCAAAATGTCGTCTTTTTCTCAAAATTCTGACTTTCTCTCAAAATTCTGACTTTCTCTCAAAAGTTTGACTTTTTCTCAAAAGTCTGACTTTTTCAAAAATTCCGACTTTTTCTCAAAATTAAAAAATTCTGACTTTCTCTCAAAATTCTGATTTCTCTCAAAAGTCTGACTTTTTCTCAAAATGTCGTCTTTTTCTCAACATTCTGACTTTTTCTCAAAATCTGGAAGTATATACTACATACTAGTTACAACTAGTTACATACAACTAGTTCCTGAACAGTGTCCTTCACATGCTGATATCCAAGAGAGGGAGTTACACAGTCACAAGATGGAGGAATAGAAAGCAGTATTCAATGTTTACTTCAGATTAGCTCCACGTCAGAAATGAGCATGCTTGATGTCTCTCTCCATAGAGGCTGAATCATCATGTTAATCACATAGCTATCATCTGCCTCAAACAGTCCTGATGCTCTTCCAGGTAATCACACATCCTGTCATGTTCACAGCTGCAGTTGGGATATTTGTTATCATGTGACTCTCATGTTGGAAGAGGACATTCAGTATTTTCCCAACACTGTGTTTTGGTTTCGTAGATCTCTTGAGCCCGGGGGCGGAGTCAGACATCGTGATGGTGGAGGGAGGCCTCGATGATCACGATGACGAAAGAGGAGGCGGTTTGATGGACGATATTGATGATGCAATGACATCAGAGGGGGGGGGGCTTCTGGAGGCGGGGCCTAACGACCTCTGTGACCCCCACGACCCCGACCTCGACGAATCAAACAGAGCCATCAGGTACACACATCCTTCACTCAAGTATAAGTACACACATCCTTTACTCAAGTAGAAGTACAGATACTCGTGTTTAAAAATACTCTGGTGAAAGTAGAAGTACTGACTAAACTTCTTTACTCAAGTGAAAGTAAAGAGGCTTTGAAATGTACTTCAGTAAAAAGTACCCATAGCTAGCAGCTGCTTTAAAGAGTACCTGACCTCCCTTTATATTAATAGAACAATAATGTCATTGTTAGCTAATGAATGTTTCCATGCTGAACAACGGCAACATGACAACGTTTCCATTGGTCCCTCTTCTTTAGAGAAGACCAGGAAATGATGGATACACGGATCGTGTTCAAATCAATAGGCACGCAATGACTCTAAATAATAATGATCACGCATCAAACACACATTCAGACTAAAAGAACCAGCTGTTTGGAAAATGAGAGAAGTAGAAAGTACAGGTATTTGAGTTCAACATGTAAGAAGTAGAAAGTACAGGTATTTGAGTTCAACATGTAAGAAGTAGAAAGTACAGGTATTTGAGTTCAACATGTAAGAAGTAGAAAGTACAGGTATTTGTGTTCAACATGTAAGAAGTAGAAAGTACAGGTATTTGAGTTCAACATGTAAGAAGTAGAAAGTACAGGTATTTGAGTTCAACATGTAAGAAGTAGAAAGTACAGGTATTTGTGTTCAACATGTAAGAAGTAGAAAGTACAGGTATTTGTGTTCAACATGTAAGAAGTAGAAAGTACAGGTATTTGAGTTCAACATGTAAGAAGTAGAAAGTACAGGTATTTGAGTTCAACATGTAAGAAGTAGAAAGTACAGGTATTTGAGTTCAACATGTAAGAAGTAGAAAGTACAGGTATTTGAGTTCAACATGTAAGAAGTAGAAAGTACAGGTATTTGAGTTCAACATGTAAGAAGTAGAAAGTACAGGTATTTGAGTTCAACATGAGAGAAGTAGAAAGTACAGGTATTTGGGTTCAACATGTAAGAAGTAGAAAGTACAGGTATTTGAGTTCAACATTTAAGAAGTAGAAAGTACAGGTATTTGAGTTCAACATGTAAGAAGTAGAAAGTACAGGTATTTGAGTTCAACATGTAAGAAGTAGAAAGTACAGGTATTTGTGTTCAACATGTAAGAAGTAGAAAGTACAGGTATTTGAGTTCAACATGTAAGAAGTAGAAAGTACAGGTATTTGAGTTCAACATGTAAGAAGTAGAAAGTACAGGTATTTGAGTTCAACATGTAAGAAGTAGAAAGTACAGGTATTTGAGTTCAACATGTAAGAAGTAGAAAGTACAGGTATTTGTGTTCAACATGTAAGAAGTAGAAAGTACAGGTATTTGAGTTCAACATGTTAGAAGTAGAAAGTACAGGTATTTGAGTTCAACATGTAAGAAGTAGAAAGTACAGGAGGTATTTAGGTTCAACATGAGAGAAGTAGAAAGTACAGGTATTTGAGTTCAACATGTAAGAAGTAGAAAGTACAGGTATTTGAGTTCAACATGTGAGAAGTAGAAAGTACAGGTATTTGAGTTCAACATGTAAGAAGTAGAAAGTACAGGTATTTGTGTTCAACATGTAAGAAGTAGAAAGTACAGGTATTTGAGTTCAACATGTAAGAAGTAGAAAGTACAGGTATTTGTGTTCAACATGTAAGAAGTAGAAAGTACAGGTATTTGAGTTCAACATGTAAGAAGTAGAAAGTACAGGTATTTGTGTTCAACATGTAAGAAGTAGAAAGTACAGGTATTTGAGTTCAACATGTAAGAAGTAGAAAGTACAGGTATTTGTGTTCAACATGTAAGAAGTAGAAAGTACAGGTATTTGAGTTCAAAATATAAGAAGTAGAAAGTACAGGTATTTGGGTTCAACATGTGAGAAGTAGAAAGTACAGGTATTTGAGTTCAAAATATAAGAAGTAGAAAGTACAGGTATTTGGGTTCAACATGTAAGAAGTAGAAAGTACAGGTATTTGTGTTCAACATGTGAGAAGTAGAAAGTACAGGTATTTGAGTTCAACATGTAAGAAGTAGAAAGTACAGGTATTTGGGTTCAACATGTGAGAAGTAGAAAGTACAGGTATTTGGGTTCAACATGTGAGAAGTAGAAAGTACAGGTATTTGAGTTCAACATGTAAGAAGTAGAAAGTACAGGTATTTGTGTTCAACATGTGAGAAGTAGAAAGTACAGGTATTTGGGTTCAACATGTGAGAAGTAGAAAGTACAGGTATTTGAGTACAACATGTAAGAAGTAGAAAGTACAGGTATTTGAGTTCAACATGTAAGAAGTAGAAAGTACAGGTATTTGAGTTCAACATGTAAGAAGTAGAAAGTACAGGTATTTGAGTTCAACATGTAAGAAGTAGAAAGTACAGGTATTTGGGTTCAACATGTAAGAAGTAGAAAGTACAGGTATTTGAGTTCAACATGTAAGAAGTAGAAAGTACAGGTATTTGAGTTCAACATGTAAGAAGTAGAAAGTACAGGTATTTGAGTTCAACATGTAAGAAGTAGGAAGTACAGGTATTTGAGTTCAACATGTAAGAAGTAGAAAGTAAAAAGTCGTCAGAAAAATAAGCAGTGGAGTAAAGTACTGATACCAAAAACATGTACTTAAGTACAGTAACGAAGTATTTGTAATCCACTACTTCCCACCTACAGAAACACACAAAACAACACATTCAGGAAGAAAAATATCCCTCGATTTCGATCTTTGTATTTTCTTTGTTGTGCAGCCCGTCCACCAGTAACAACATCCCTCTGATGAGAGTGGTTCAGTCCGTCAAGCACACAAAGAGGAAGACGAGCAATGTGATGAAGGAGGGATGGATGGTCCATTACACCAGCAAGGACACTCTGGTATTGACCTGTCTGTAGTTGTATTCGTTTGTTTGTCTGTCAGTGTTTCCTACCTTTTAATAATTAGGTTTTATGATGTCTTGAATTCATAGTTTAAGAGAAAGCTTCTGAATCAGGAAGAATAATAAGTGTCGCACTGGAAAAATGCTGCTCCAAAAACAAGTTAAACAATAATGAAAACAAGCCGTCTTTACTTGAAATAAGTCCAAGGGGAGGCTGTGGCTCAGTGGATGTTGTTCTGGACTTCAAATCAGGGGGTAGCAAGTTCGAGTCCCACTGCAGTCAGCATGTCGTCCCTGAGACACTTCACCCCAAATTGCTCCTGTGGGGATTGTCCACAGTACTGAATTGAGTAAGTCGCTTTGGATAAAAGCGTCGTAATGTAATGTAATGTAATGTAATGTAATGTAATGTAATGTCCAACAATCTGCCAATAGAACAAGTGCACATTAGCTTGGTAAGATTTGTTGAAATAAGAAGGGATATTTAGATAAATCACATCTTGTAATTAGCAGGAGAACTCATTTTGAACTATGTTTGACCAGAATCAGGAGATGTTGTGTTCTGATGTTAGCTGGTGATTTTCTAATAAATATGTAAATAAATGTGTTTCATCTGAGATACAACTCAAAATAAGATGTTTTGACTCAACAAGATGATGCATTGTCTAAACACAAGATCCTATGTCTCACTGCAGTGTTACTTCTGAAGCTATCATGTCTTGTATCAGGTGGAGAGACACGTTCTGACTAGATATTAGACTAAGATACCGGGCAGGATTTAGAGTTTTTGTAGTGTGCTTTAACAACAATAACCTGATCGCTGGGAAACTAGATGACTTGTTTCTAAAAAATAAAGAAAATAAAGGATTAAAGAAACCTAGATATTTGTTTATATTTGTCAGCCCCTTAGCAAGTGTTGTTTGTTAAGCCCCTGTCACACTGTCCCGAAATTGACACCCGATGGACACACGATAAAGGAAATGTTCAAATTCGGCTCTGATCGTAGCAACATCGGGCCATTCGTGAGGGCATCTAAGCCATCGTATGATCGCTGGTGGAGTTTCTCAGGCTCCGGCAGCAACTTCGTGAGCGGCAACTTCGTAAGGCACTCGTGAGGGCATCTTGTCGAATCATGTCATCTTCGTGTTATCATCGGTGCTATCGGGCATTCGCCCTCACTCTGATCGGGGCGAATGCCCGATGGCACCGATGATAACAAGATGCCCTCACGATGGCCTTACGAAGGGCAACATTGACACACGAATTCAACACGAAATGAACCTTCTCAAGGTCCTTCGGCAATTTTTTGGCATGCCAAAGATTTTGCCACCGCTCACGAAGTTGCTGCCGGAGCCTGAGAAACTCCGCCGGCGGTCATACGAAGGCTTAAGATGCCCTCACGAATGGCCCGATGTTGCTACGATCACAGCCGAATTTGAACATTTCCTTTATCGTGTGTCCATCGGGTTGTTTTATTGCACAACAAAATCATGTAAACATATTATGTAAATAACCCAATTTGTGTTCTGTGAAACTAAAAAGGATATAATATATTATTTTGAAGGACAGTTGACAGGAAGTTGTTGTTGCTATGGAAACAACATTACGGAGAAAACGTAATATTTTCTACATATAAAGACGGAGAAAGTAAAGAACAAAGTCTGAAGATATCAGTACAGTATCATAGTACTGTAACATAATTGTTTTTGGTACTTTCATTGCAGTTGTATGTCTTAAATGTAATGTAAATGTTGCCTTCGTGTGTGGTTCGGGGCCATCTTCGTGCGAAATTCACAATTCCATATTCGTGTGTCCATCGGGTGTCAACTTCGGGACAGTGTGACAGGGGCTTTAGGGGGTAAGATCTTGAGCTTTTTGAAATGCAAAAAGAATATGTTCCCTAAGGCTTTATGCAAAGAATAAATGGCACTATGAATTAACTGGCAAAATGTTTCATGTGTAAAGTATAAACACACAAATTGCAAACAATAACACCTGCACTGGGAAAAATGCTGCTCCCAAAACAAGTAAATATATAATAAAAACAAGGTGAATTAGCTTTTAAAGGTCACGGCCATTTCTACTGATCATAGTTCCATTGTTGAGGTCTACTAGAATAGATTTAAATTGTTCAATGTTCCAAACTCACATTGGTTTCTCACAGCATCTCTGTATAGTCTGTGTATTCACTCTCTGTCCTACACGGCTTGTTGGAGCTCCTGCCCCCCCCCCCCTCCCTTTGAGCCCAGTGTGCTCCGATTGGTCGGGACGTTGCGAGGCTCGCTGCTCAGTGAGCTGGCTTACTGGTGTGGTTTCCGTGTCGGCGATACAGCGAGGACAAGCGAAACTCATCCTGAGCACACACACACTCACAGCCGAATTAAAAACAATAAGTGGCTTGATATTGAGAAAGAAAAAGGTTTTTAGCGCTGTGAGAATGGGTCTGCGGAGAGCATTCCTCCACCATCCCAACTCGTCTGTTACCAACCAGGGAGCTCTATGCAAGTCAATGGGGACTCCCTGTTAGTTGAAAATGTACGCTAAAGGTCCTGGTGTGTGAGGAGCTCCGCGGATTGGTCCATTTTGGTTCCGGGAACCGCAAGAAACAAATGGAAACAGAGAAATGTCCAACGAGGCGTTCTGGGGCAGCACAGACAGGTCTTCTCTGTGTCAGAGTGTTACTCCCTACAGGGTGCTCTTTGAGGGTTTGAGACTCTGCAGACCGTTCACATGCAGAAGCTACAGAACACAAGGGGGCGGGTCAGAACCGGAAAAGCATGACATGGGCCATTTAAGTTATTAGGTCATATATGTAACGACATATTCTGACTAGAAATTATACTTGGCAAGATTTTACATTTTTGTCGTGTAACCCTTTCTCCCTGTTGACTTTGTTCTTTTCATCTCTCTCGTACCATCTTTGATTCTTATCGTCTTTGTTTCCTCTTCATCTATGATTTCAGAGGAAAAGACATTACTGGCGTCTCGACAGCAAATGCATCACGCTGTTCCAGAACGACACAGGAAGTAAATACTACAAGGTAAGAGGACCTCTTATCTCAGATTTATTTTTAAACAAGAGATAAAACTCATCACCACGACAAGTTTCTAAATTGCAGGAAATGCTCAGGGTCTTTTCGGGGTACTTCATTGTACTCTTTAAGTTTGCATTCAATTAGATTCCTTTTATTGTCATTTACAAAGCCCCCCCCCCCCCCTACATCACTGACCTTTTTTCTCCCCAATTTCCGGCGCCCTCGATGGGTTGATGCGCCCTTAGCATTCGCCTATACTGCCTACGCCAATGGCCGGCCCTGGTGAAAACAATATGACATCAACAAAAAATAAGACAGACAACTACAGATTAGGGATGCCAGTGATTATTCGATTATTCGAATAATCGTTACAGTCTCCATAATCGAATATTATTTTTAAAAATCGATTTTATTTATATATATTTTTATTTTTATTATTATTTATGTTTTTTTTCTTTTTTTTTTCTGGCTTAGTGGGTTAGGGTTAGGGTTAAGGTAACCCTAACCCTAACCCTAACCCTAACCCTGGGGGGTGGGGGTCGGTCGAATAATCGATTATTATTCGCCAGGGCTGCCGAATAATCGATTTTGATCATGGTCAGTTTCTGGCAACCCTACTACAGATAGCACCACACATGATGGTTACTTGTTATTATTTAGGGCTGCCAGTATGGATAATGTTTTTGCCAAAGCGAGCCCTTTTACTAGAATAATAATATGTTATACATTATATAAACCGTATTGGTACAATGAGCGACATCCAGTGACGGATTTTGGAACATTGATTTGATTTTCTCATGGCAGTTAGACTCTAGAGACAAACCAGGGGACTTTACTTGTAATCTGTATCTGTCCATTTGGTGTAGTGTTTGATCCAATATTACATTTGGTTTATATATTAGTCACTTTCTTATGAAATGCCAGGTTTTAGGCCTTGATTTGAACATTCAATCCTGAAAATAATAAATCAACCAGATTAATGTTTCTTTAATCCTGACCTGACTAGAGGTAAGTAGATCTGTATATGAAGACGAGTTAAGGGATAGAGGAGAAAAGGTTATGGTATAATTACAGAGCCTGTCAATTTATAAATTGAGGAAATCAATGTTAGTTAACCAAAGTGCAGCCATCTGATAATGTACTATCTGTTATTAAAGATCAGAGGAACAGAACAGAACGAGAGGGGTCAATCCGGAATACAAATAAAGAAGCAAAGAGATTGTAGAGCAGTGAGAAGGAAAACAACTTGGTGTGTCAATTCATTACATTGCCAGTATTTTTCGGTATTGTGAAAAAAGATCGCCCCCTCTGATTTTTTAACAGCCCCCTCAGTCATTTCATCCTGGAGCCGGGCCTGTATGAGGTAGAATATGAGGTGCAGTTGGATATAAACAAATACTTAGTTGAGCATAAGTTCAGTTCCATTAGTGCTGTATGCTCACGTATACATAAACATTGTAGTGATATACACATACTTTCTGCCCCAGTAACAAGTGTGTAAACGTTGTACAATTCTCAATGTTTTCTCTACATGCTCTTTCCCTCTTCCAGAATGTGTTGTGTTGTGTGTTTCTGTACCCAGAGGTGGTACTGATTTCAGCAGTAAAATAGGTTAAAATAAGATTGGTGTCAGGGTTAAAGGAAGCCATGATAACAGATGGTAGCAGATAGAACAGGAGATCCCTCTAAGAGTGTTTCCATGCAAAATAGCTTTTAAATGTGGTCTTGCATGCAAACATGAATACTAAATGTTATCCATATTGTCAGGAGTTTAGATAAAGACAATGTAAGTTGGGGATTACTGTATTTTCCTTGGACCCCAATAACGTCACGGATCAATTTGACTCAAGCACTATCAAGTGGTGAAAACCAGAGGTGGGAAGTAGTGGAGTACAATACTTCGTTACTGTACTTAAGTACATGTTTCTGGTATCAGTACTTTCCTCCACTACTTATTATTCTGATGACTTTTGACTTTGACTTCTCACATGTTGAACCCAAATACCTGTACTTTCTACTTCTCTCATTTTCCAAACAGGCTGGTTCCTTTAGTTTTAATGTGTGTTTGGTGGCGTGATCATTATTATTTAGAGTCATTGCGTGCCTATTGATTTGACCACGATCGGTGTATCCATAATTTCCTGGTTCTATTAATATAAAGGGAGGTCAGGTACTCTTTAAAACAGCTGGTAGTTATGGGTACTTTTTACTTAAGTACATTTCAAAGCCCATACTTCTTTACTTTTACTTGAGTAAAGAAGTTAAGTCAGTACTTCTACTTTTACCAGAGTATTTTTAAACGTGAGTATCTGTACTTCTACTTGAGGAAAGGATGTGCACTTTTGCCATCTCTGCCACTGCCTCAGTAACAAGTGTGTAAACGTTGTTTTCTCTACATGCTCTTTCGCTCTCTTCTCTGCAGGAGATCCCTCTCTCTGAGGTCTTAACTCTGGAGCCGGCTCAGGCCTTCTCTCTCCTCCCTGACGGAGCCAATCTGCACTGCTTTGAGATCACCACGGCATCTCTGGTTTACTACGTCGGAGAAAACCTGCAGAGAGTCGATTCCTCTGTGAGCAGCAGCAGCATTAAGGTAAATAAAAACTACTGCTGACATCTGTCTGTGTCCAGAGAGCGATGAATTACTCAGATAACTTACTTATCTACAAATACCACCGTTCATTAGTTCTCAATTACACATAGTAAAGCACATGACTTTATATTTTGTTTACTGTGAATTGGTATTTCAACATGTATATTTTCATTTTAATATGTATCAATTTTAGAATTGTTTATTTTTCTGCAATGCAAACATTTCCGAATTTTGATTAATTAAGTACATCTCATCTCATCTTTCATTATGTACTTAAATTATCAAAAGTACTTATTCTGAAAATGGTATATTCATATATTTTACATTATGACATTATTAATACTCATCAATGCAAGTTGTAGTGATGGAAGCTCATTTTAACAACCTCATTAAGTTAACTTTGTATCTTAAATCTTAATTTGAAGTCACTACTGTTGTCTAATAAGTACAGTGGACTAATAGTAGACTAAAAGCACTACACAGTTGCATTCAAATACTTTAATAAATGTACTTAGTTACTTTCTACCACTCTCTGTCCACAAACAAAGACTAATTACTGGACTTTTACTTTGTATCTGTTGATCTTTACTGACCCGAGTCCCTTTCACTGCCCTAAAAGCTGCATCTAGAACTGGTTAATGTGTCTTTGTATTTATTTTAAAGGTCCCCTCTTCTTCATGTCTCTTCTACATCAACATGTGTCCCCTCTTCTTCATGTCTCTTCTACATCAACATGTGTCCCCTCTTCTTCATGTCTCTTCTACATCAACATGTGTCCCCTCTTCTTCATGTCTCTTCTACATCAACATGTGTCCCCTCTTCTTCATGTCTCTTCTACATCAGCATGTGTCCCCTCTTCTCCATGTCTCTTCTACATCAACATGTGTCCCCTCTTCTTCATGTCTCTTCTACATCAACATGTGTCCCCTCTTCTTCATGTCTCTTCTACATCAACATGTGTCCCCTCTTCTTCATGTCTCTTCTACATCAGCATGTGTCCCCTCTTCTTCATGTCTCTTCTACATCAACATGTGTCCCCTCTTCTTCATGTCTCTTCTACATCAACATGTGTCCCCTCTTCTTCATGTCTCTTCTTCATCAACATGTGTCCCCTCTTCTTCATGTCTCTTCTACAATCAACATGTGTCCCCTCTTCTTCACGTCTCTTCTACATCAACATGTGTCCCCTCTTCTTCATGTCTCTTCTACATCAACATGTGTCCCCTCTTCTTCATGTCTCTTCTACATCAACATGTGTCCCCTCTTCTTCATGTCTCTTCTACATCAACATGTGTCCCCTCTTCATTCTTCATGTCTCTTCTTCATCAACATGTGTCCCCTCTTCTTCATGTCTCTTCTACATCAACATGTGTCCCCTCTTCTTCATGTCTCTTCTTACATCAACATGTGTCCCCCTCTTCTTCATGTCTCTTCTACATCAACATGTGTTCCCCTCTTCTTCATGTCTCTTCTACATCAACATGTGTCCCCTCTTCTTCATGTCTCTTCTCATCAACATGTGTCCCCTCTTCTTCATGTCTCTTCTTCATCAACATGTGTCCCCTCTTCTCATGTCTCTTCTACATCAACATGTGTCCCCCTCTTCTTCATGTCTCTCTTCATCAACATGTGTCCCCTCTTCTTCATGTCTCTTCTACATCAACATGTGTCCCCTCTTCTTCATGTCTCTTCTACATCAACATGTGTCCCCTCTTCTTCATGTCTCTTCTTCATCAACATGTATCCCCTCTTCTTCATGTCTCTTCTTCATCAACATGTGTCCCCTCTTCTTCATGTCTCTTCTACATCAACATGTGTCCCCTCTTCTTCATGTCTCTTCTACATCAACATGTGTCCCTTCTTCTTCATGTCTCTTCTACATCAACATGTGTCCCCTCTTCTTCATGTCTCTTCTACATCAGCATGTGTCCCCTCTTCTCCATGTCTCTTCTACATCAACATGTGTCCCCTCTTCTTCATGTCTCTTCTACATCAACATGTGTCCCCTCTTCTTCATGTCTCTTCTTCATCAACATGTGTCCCCTCTTCTTCATGTCTCTTCTACATCAACATGTGTCCCCTCTTCTTCACGTCTCTTCTACATCAACATGTGTCCCCTCTTCTTCATGTCTCTTCTACATCAACATGTGTCCCCTCTTCTCCATGTCTCTTCTACATCAACATGTGTCCCCTCTTCTTCCATGTCTCTTCTACATCAACATGTGTCCCCTCTTCTTCATGTCTCTTCTACATCAACATGTGTCCCCTCTTCTTCATGTCTCTTCTACATCAACATGTGTCCCCTCTTCTTCATGTCTCTTCTACATCAACATGTGTCCCCTCTTCTTCATGTCTCTTCTTCATCAACATGTGTCCCCTCTTCTTCATGTCTCTTCTACATCAACATGTGTCCCCTCTTCTTCATGTCTCTTCTACATCAACATGTGTCCCCTCTTCTTCATGTCTCTTCTACATCAACATGTGTCCCCTCTTCTTCATGTCTCTTCTTCATCAACATGTGTCCCCTCTTCTTCATGTCTCTTCTTCATCAACATGTGTCCCCTCTTCTTCATGTCTCTTCTACATCAACATGTGTCCCCTCTTCTTCATGTCTCTTCTTACATCAACATGTGTCCCCTCTTCTTCATGTCTCTTCTACATCAACATGTGTCCCCTCTTCTTCATGTCTCTTCTACATCAACATGTGTCCCCTCTCTTCATGTCTCTTCTTCATCAACATGTGTCCCCCTCTTCTTCATGTCTCTTCTTCATCAACATGTGTCCCCTCTTCTTCATGTCTCTTCTACATCAACATGTGTCCCCTCTTCTTCATGTCTCTTCTACATCAACATGTGTCCCCTCTTCTTCATGTCTCTTCTACATCAACACGTGTCCCCTCTTCTTCATGTCTCTTCTACATCAACACGTGTCCCCTCTTCTTCATGTCTCTTCTACATCAACATGTGTCCCCTCTTCTTCATGTCTCTTCTACATCAACATGTGTCCCCTCTTCTTCATGTCTCTTCTATATCAACATGTGTCCCCTCTTCTTCATGTCTCTTCTACATCAACATGTGTCCCCTCTTCCTCATGTCTCTTCTACATCAACATGTGTCCCCTCTTCTTCATGTCTCTTCTACATCAACATGTGTCCCCTCTGTGGAAAGAGACTCTGAAAGTTTCAGGAACAAAGATTCTCTCTCTTTTTGATCCATTTCTATAAAAACCTGTCTGACAATGAGCTGATCAGATTTTGGCCACTTGATGATGTCATAACGATGTGTTGTCTTGTGTAACCATTAGCCAATCAGCAACCAAGGTAACCCCCCCCCCCCCCCCTTATCACCTGAATCTCCTCCTAGAGCACCATTGAGTTCTTTGTAACCAAATGTCTCTCAGAGGGGCGTGGGGAGGGGCTCCTTATTTTCATCTAAAGTAACAGACAGAGAATCAGCACTTTGGAAACAGGGCTGAAACAGAGGGGATTATGGGTAATGCTGTAATGATCTGTTTGGTGTTTCAGCCAATCAGAGACAGGCTCTGGATATATCTGAGACCTGTGATGTATTGATGAAAAACTGTATAATAGGGGACCTTTAAGTCACTACTGTTGTCAAATAAGTACAGTGGGCTAGTAGACTAAAAGCACTACACAGTTGCATTCAAATACTTTAATAAATAGTTACTTTCAACCACTGTCCACAAAGAAAAACTAATTACTGGATTTTTTCCCTGGCTGGTCCCAGCTCAGCGGGCTGGGGCAGGATGTGGCTCGGATGTGGGAGATGGCCATCCAGCATGCTTTGATGCCTGCTGTTTCTATGGGAATTTCCCACAGCTCTCACCGCAGCGGACACAGTAAGACACCTTTCAACCGTATTTTTGAAGTCACTACTGTTGTCAAATAAGTACAGTGGGCTAATTTGTCCTTTACCATTAAACCGTCTCTAATTCAACGTTGGGTGAACTTGCTTTGTTGACTTCACCACCTTCAAAAAACGTACAAAAACTCAACTCTTCAATCTGGCTTTTAATGTGTGATTGTTGTTTTTTTGCTCGATTTTAATGTGACTTTTAATATATTTATTTAATGTCCATACCTCTGTAAAAGCGCTTACAAAATACATTTATTATTATTGATTTATTTGGTGGGGTCCAAAAACTGAGTATAGGTCAGGCTATGAACTAGTTTTAGTCCTTCGTGTCGCAAATTAATTGTCGCAATTGCATATTTCTAACTGCAGTCATACGAAGAATAAACTATAAAGTTAATTGCTTTGCTGAGGACACCCAGCTCTTTATATCTGTTGATCTTTACTGACCTGAGACCCTTTCACTGCCCTCAAAACTGCATCTGCTTTTATTAAATGTTAATGTGGCTGTATATTTTTTACACTATAAACAAGGAACATTTGCATAGATTTAGAATCAATCAACTCGATTAATGCAACAGGGGACATGAAGAGTTTTTCTGAAAACTACGTTCGAACATGGGGCGAAGCCTGCGAGCTAGTTCAGGCAGTCAACTCGAGCACCAATGATACATTAACACGTGACGCGCCTCGTCCCTCTTACAACCAACCAAACACATTCTCCTAAACATGCCGCTCTATTTAAGCTGCCAGGTCTTCCTGCCTCTGCCTCGCTATGCTGCTGCTGCTGCGTTCATGTTCCTGCTGCTGTGTTTCATGTTGCTTCTGCTCGCCTGCCCCACCACCACCCCAGCTTCCACCTCAGCTTCCACCTCAGCTTCCACCCCAGCTTCCACCCCAGCTTCCACCCCAGCTTCCACCCCAGCTTCCACCCCAGCTTCCACCCCAGCTTCCACCCAGCTTCCCCCTCAGCTTCCACCCCAGCTTCCACCCCAGCTTCCACCCAGCTTCCACCTCAGCTTCCACCCCAGCTTCCACCCCAGCTTCCACCCCAGCTTCCACCCCAGCTTCCACCCCAGCTTCCACCCCAGCTTCCACCCCAGCTCCACCCCAGCTTCCACCCCAGCTCCACCTCAGCTTCCACCCCAGCTTTCCACCCAGCTTCCACCCCAGCTTCCACCCCAGCTTCCACCCCAGCTTCCACCTCAGCTTCCACCCCAGCTCCACCCCAGCTTCCACCCCAGCTCCACCTCAGCTTCCACCCCAGCTTCCACCCCAGCTTCCACCCCAGCTTCCACCCCAGCTTCCACCCCAGCTTCCACCCCAGCTTCCACCTCAGCTTCCACCCCAGCTCCACCCCAGCTTCCACCCCAGCTCCACCTCAGCTTCCACCCCAGCTTCCACCCCAGCTCCACCTCAGCTTCCACCCCAGCTTCCACCCTCAGCTTCCACCTCAGCTTCCACCCCAGCTTCCACCCAGCTTCCACCCCAGCTTCCACCCCAGCTTCCACCCCAGCTTCCACCCCAGCTTCCACCCCAGCTTCCACCTCAGCTTCCACCCCAGCTTCCACCCCAGCTTCCACCCCAGCTCCACCCCAGCTTCCACCCCAGCTTCCACCCCAGCTTCCACCCCAGCTTCCACCCCAGCTTCCACCCCAGCTTCCACCCCAGCTTCCACCTCAGCTTCCACCCCAGCTTCCACCCCAGCTTCCACCCCAGCTCCACCCCAGCTTCCACCCCAGCTTCCACCCCAGCTTCCACCCCAGCCTCCACCCCAGCCTCCACCCCAGCTTCCACCCCAGCTTCCACCCCAGCTTCCACCTGTAGGCTCGGGGGATAGTTATCTAATCATCACTCAATATTCTTTGTAAATCTGTGGAGCGATGAGGCCCGAGCCTAGACGCCAAACTCAAACTGTATGCTGCTTCTAATAAACATATTAAGAAACACGTGAGTTTTCTGACTGAAATGCAGTCAATCCAAACTATTATATTTGAAATGCTATTGAAGATCCTGAAGTTTAAAATAGAATCAAGTTTTGTTCTTATACACAGGGTTAAAGCCCAAAATGGTTTTGAGGTAAAATAATATGTCAAGTTCAGTGTTTAGGGTTTGGGTGCAGCCAACAAAATAATGCATCTTTGGTTTCATATTTCATTTATTCTCCGAGGAACCTCGTAAAGCTTCAATTGAGAGCTTTAATCCAACCTTTAATGTACGTATAACAATAAGAAATGGGAATACTGCACGTGAAGACGTTAAATCCACGGTTCTGTCTTCTTTAAAATGAGCACAGGACATGCATTTCTTTCTTTAACGCCAGCCGTCAGCAGAGCAGAGAATCTCTTTGAAATGAAATTGGTTGAATGTAAATGTAAATGTCATTCTGCCGTTATTATCCTGCCTTTTTACAGGAGACATTTTCAGCTCAGGTATTAATGTTCACTGAGTTCTCCTCAGGGCCGTTGACACCCACACAAAATCCATCAGAGATATTTCAGAGCTTCTCTGACATCAAGCTACTCATGACTAACACTTCAGTTTGGACTCGATGATTCCTCTGACTCTGCTCACCTGAGAGAACAGAGAAATAATACTGTGTCTAAATAAAACCTCCAGAAGGCCAAATGCTAAAGATGTATAAAACGTATAATGCTTTGACAGATTAAATCTTAACAGAAGCCACTGGAAACAAAAGTTTACTGCAGTGAGAGTTGCCACATAGGTCGTTGTACTTTGTATGTTGACAATAAAGGTATATTCTATTCAAAAGTATCTCCGTAAAAGTTGAGTTGTGCTATCTTTTAAAAGTTGCACGTCCTCTGGAGTCAAACTCTCATCGATTACCTGTGGTTTTAATATATATATATTTCTTTATAACAATGATTCACTCTTTCTTTGTTTGTGTGTCATCAACAGAGGAGATCTCCATCAGTATTTCTGTCTCTAACTGCCAGATCCAGGAGAATGTGGTAAGAACAACACACACACACACACACACACACACACACACACACACACACACACACACACACACACACACACACATACCAGTATACATCACTTCAGGGGACATTACATTGACTTACATGCAGTTCCTGGAGACTTATCCTAACCATAACCATAACCAACACATGCCTAACCCTAACCCTAACCCTAACCCTAACCAAGTCTTCACCCTAAAATTAATGATTCCCCTCATGGGGACCTCCAATGTGTCCCCATAAGGGAGGTGAGTCCCCACACGTGACTGTGTAAACAGATTTAGGTCCCCACAAGTATAGTAATGCTAGGCCACACACACACACACACACACACACACACACACACACACACACACACACACACACACACACACACACACACACACACACACACACAAGGTATAATGATGGTCAAGTGGAGACCACATCCAAGATGACCCTACAGCCCGTGCAGACTGGAGTCCAATGGGCTGAATCTTTCCAGGTCTAGTGACCAAATAAACAGCAATGTTCAGATAAATTACTTATTTATGTTTTAAATAAAGGTGAATGCATTCTTATATTAATATCACTCTATAACCATAATACATAGTCTATCTGTTAATTGTGGCTGTCTTTTCAAACTAAAATGGTCTTGACCTCCTCTACAGTGGACATACTGTAACATTTAAAAATTAAATTAAAGAAGTCTAAATTGCAAGATGTTTTTCTAACCCTAAATAGGTAGGAAATAAAAAATAAAGAAGATTGGAAAATATTTGTACTTCTCTGGGCATGGATATTTACCACACATCTACCTGCAATTAGGTCTTATCCGGCCCATAGATGTATATTATGAACTGGATACAGCGTCGGAGGCGGGGTCTCATTCTTTCTTATGAGAGCTGCTCATTGGCGCATGAAGACAAAATGGCCTGAGAATTTCGAGAGCAAAACGTCACAAATTACCCATCATGCGCAGTTTGTTCCCCCTTAAGTCCCGCCCACTCTCGGCTCAGTAGAATAAATGAAGAGAGAAAATCTGGATTCAGCTTTTAGTGCATTTTACAACTTTAAGGACCGAATGATTCTAATAAGGGCTATAATAGTGTTCATGCTGGGTAGTTTATTTAGGTAAAAAAAATTATCCGCAGATTTACAGACGTGTCTTTCTTTAAGTCAATGGAAGTATTTCTGGTCCCAGTGATGTCACGGACTATTACGGAAATTGTAGTACCGCCGTTTGGCCACTATAAATATTTTCCTCAGAGTCCGGAGCATTTCCTGGGGGCTTGGTCTGGCCCCATTCGACTGCCCGTCCATAAATCAAGAGCCAAATATATCACGCTTACGTCGGAGGCTGAGCAAAGTGACTAGAACGCGACCACACACTTGGGTTTTATTATATCGGCTATCAGGTGAAATCAGTACATGGGCTACACATGTAAAATCATAATGAAAAATACGCCGGTAAAATGTGCCTGTAGTAAATGGCTTATGCCACAATACGATACGATAATACTTTAATGGTCAGATCAAGTCGTTTTTTAAGAAGAGGCAGGTAAAATAATATGTTCTTCTCCCTGCTCCTTTCTACGGAGCCCCCTAGGGGACATGGAGAAGACAAAAAAATGTATTTTGAAAAAAAAATGTTTTGCGAGATATCGCAAAACACCGTTGCGAGATATCGCAAAATCCCCTTTGCGAGATCTCGCAATACTTTTGCGAGATCTCGCAAAACCCCGTTGCAGTTTGTAGACGGTCCCTAAGCACTCCTCTCCCTCCTCAAGCTGCGGATTGTGACGAATTCTTGATGTTTAGCTCGGATGGCGGCGCATATCGAACTGTTCTGATAAAAACGACTCTGTAGCTCGTTGTCTACCTTGCTATGATTGTAAAGTCATGTTGTTTGTATTTTTACAACGTTATGTTCATGAGTTATTGATCCGCGAAATTCGAATCTGTCAATAACTCAGCTCAGAGGGACGTGCATGTCCCCTCGCTCTGAGTGTTCTCTTGAGGTGTCTTCACTTATGTGAAACCCTTTATATATACAGTCTATGTGTGAAACCCGTGCCTATTGCCAAGCACTGATGTTATATCTTTATATTAAGCTCAAAGTAAAATCGATGAACCGCTCCATTGTTGTGGTTTCTGTGTTGCCATAGCAGCCGAACTGACCAAGAAGTACTAAATGAAAAGTATTGCGAGATCTCGCAAAGGGGGAGATCTCCCAAAAGTATTGCGAGATCTCGCAAAGGTTCTTTTTTTTTTCTTTTTTTTTTTCTTTTCTTCTTCTCCATGTCCCCTAGGGGGCTCCGTACCTTTCCACCATGCGTTATAAAAAAAGTCTGAACTCTGAGATTTAAAAAAAAAAAAAAATGTTTCTAAATATTCTGACTTTCTTTTCTCACTCTTTAGATCTGTAACTATTAAAGATTTCCAGCTTTAGATGCACTCGTAGGTTCCCACTCCTGGAATGTGTAGTGTACATGTTTTATTTAAAATAACTGCCATGTGTGGAATAAACAAAATAAATAAAAATTGTAGGACTAAGACTAAATAAATAATGGCAGACAGAACGAACACTACATTAAACACATTTACATGATACAGATGCTCATGAGGCTCGAGTGTCTGCAAATTAAACCGTAGAGAACACAGAGTCCCATTTTCATGCAGACGTGCACCTTCGTCTCCAAGGTGAGCACGTCGTCTTCGAGCACCTCAAATGGAGATTACTGTGATTACTCACTCAGCCAAACGGTTTCCATGGTGACGGATCGGTAATTAGGCAGCGCTGCTCAGGGGAAGTAGGGAGGAGGAGGTTTATAATATTGTATTTCTGTCCTCATTGCCTCGAGGTGTGATATTAGGCTGTCAGCTAACGTGGGAGAAAAAGCAAGACGTGATTGCAGACAAGGAGAAAATATTTAGCAGTTTTGGTGTCAAAGCTGTGGCAGATCCCTGACGCCATGTTGTTACACTCAGTGGGCAAAAGCTGCTCTTAAAAATTCCTCCATCAGGTGAGGAACTGATGCAATACATTGTTTCTGTTGAACCCACTTTCTGTTGCTCGGTCATTTACAGATGTTTTGAGAAAAAAGTCGGAATTCTGAGAAAACAGTCGGAATTCTGAGGAGAAAACGTTTGGAATATTGAGGAAAAAAGCCGGAATATTGAGAAAAAAGTTGGAATATTGAGAACAAAGTCGGAATATTGAGGAAAAAAGACTGAATATTGAGGAAAAAGTTGGAATATTGAGACAAAAGTCGGAATATTGAGAAAAAAGTCGGAATATTGAGAAAAACAGATTGAAATCTGAGGATAAAAATAGTCGGAATATTGAGAACAAATTGGGAATATTGAGAAAAAAATTCGGAATATCAAATTAAAAAAATGGGAATATTGAAAAGAAGTCGGAATTCTGAGAAAAATATGTAATATTGAAAAAGTCGTAATATTGAGAAAATAATTGGGAATATTGAGAAAAAAAATTGGGAATATTGTGAAACAGTCAGAATTAGGAGGAAAAAAATGTAATATTGAGAAAATAATCTATATATTGTGAAAAAAAGACTGAATTCTCAGGATAAAAAAAGTCGGAATATTGAGAAGAAAGTCGTAATATTGAGAAAAACAGACTGAAATCTGAGGAGAAAAAAGTCGGAATATTGAGAAAAAAGTCGGAATATTGGAACGAATTCTGAGAAAACAAACAGTTTTGGTGTCAACGCTGTGGCAGATCCCCGACTGCTCTTAAAAACTCCTCCATCAGGTGAGGAACTGATGACATTCATAGTTTCTGTTGAACCCACTTTCTGGCTCTCGTTCCGCTTCTTCAGCTTCCATCAAAATAACTTCCCAGCTTTCATAACTATTAAAGATTTCTAGATTTAGATGCACTTGTAGGTTCCCACGTAGAATGTACATTTCGTCAAGTACTGCTTTAGCAGTATTGAGAAAAAAAGTCTGAATGTTGACAAAAAAAGTCGGAATATTCAGAAAAAAAGTCGGAATATTCAGAAAAAAAGTCGGAATATTGTGAAAAAATACTGAATTCTCAGGATAAAAATAGTCGGAATATTGAGAACAAAATTCGGAATATCGAAAAACTAATTGGGAATATTGAAAAGAAGTTGGAATTCTGAGAAAAATATGTAATATTGAAAAAATCGTAATATTGAGAAAACAATTGGGAATATTGAAAAATAAATTGGGAATATTGTTACAAAATATGTAATATTGAGAAAATAATCTATATATTGTGAAAAAAAGACTGAATTCTCAGGATAAAAAAAGACGGAATATTGAGAAATAAATTGGGAATATTGAGAAAAAGTCGGAATTCTGAGAAGAAAAAATATTAATATTGAGAAAAAAAGTCAGAATATTGAAAAATAATTCGGACTTTTTTTTCATGTCTAGATTTGTTTCCACACTTGTGTCGCCAATTTTCTAAATAGCTTCAATTTCAACAAATTCAGGAACCCATCTAGGATGCAACGTCTCCAGATGTATTTTATGAGCATTCATTTTACTCTTCACTTCAACTATGTTGGATATCTGATGTGAACCTACGCCCACATTTTCTCTCTTTTTTTAGGATATCAACTCTGTGTACCAGATCTTCCCTGATGAGGTTCTTGGCTCAGGACAGTTTGGCATCGTCTATGGAGGTAAAATCTTTAAAAGATAATACGTTTAAAATTAGATACCTGCTTTTTGACAACATATAAGAAGTATAATGTTGAGAAGTCTCGTTTAGAAAATAAAGTTCAAGATTTACATGAAAATTAAAGTTGTAAATTGGTAGAAAAGTCATTATTATCATCTTCACTCTGAATTTCATATTTCTTTCTAGGTATTAGGAGAATAAGGTTGCCATATTTGGAAGCAGTTAACTCTGAATTGTTCCTCTTGATTAAATTGTCACAACATAATAGGTTATATGCATAATACTAATGCAGATTTTCATTTGTTTTTACACAGGGAAACACAGGAAGTCCGGTCGAGACGTCGCCATCAAGATTATCGACAAACTCCGTTTCCCCACGAAACAGGAGAGCCAGCTGAGGAACGAGGTGGCCATCCTGCAGGTACACACACACACACACACACACACACACACACACACACACACACACACACACACACACACACACACACACACACACACACACACACACACATATATATATATATATACACACACACACACACACACACACACACAGCAGTGCTGTTAGCAGTGAATGAGACTTCCTGTCGTGAACGCCTTCATTACCGTGGCAACACTGTAGGGGTGTGATATCCTGTAATTCTCCAGTGCTGCTCAACCTGCAGAAGCTGCTGCTGACACACACACACACACACACACACACACACACACACACACACACACACACACACACACACACACACACACACACACACAGAACACACACACACAGAACACACTGCTCACTTCATTTCTCAAGAAAGAGTGGTGGGAACATTGTGATTTCCATCAGATTGTAATGCACTTCAATTTCAATTATTTTAACATAATATGGCATACGAGTGTCAAAAACACTTAATATAATCAAGAAGTATTTGCAGGTTGTTATACTTTATGAGAAGAAATCAATGTTTTTCTGATTGTCTTTATCCGGACTGATTGATAATTACCATTATCCATTTATCAAAAATGAATGGTCATGATAAGGATGATTTATTGTCGCTCACATGTCGTGAATGAAGGGAAACAAAAGCGATAGACAAAAGTCAATCAAATAAAAGAGTCCTAATTATGTAAATAATAATGTCTAGGGGTGTAACGGTTCACAAACATTTCGGTTCGGTACGTACCTCGGTTTTTTGGTCTCGGTTCGGTTCGGTACGTTTTCGGTACAGCAGAATTTTTTTTCACAAAACAAAATATATATATATATATTTTTTATTATTATTAAACTGTGAATAATGTATTCACTCAAATAAATACAAAATATAATAAAATAAACATTAAGGTGCAGCATTTCGATGAACTGAAATAATCTGTATTTGAACTTTACTGTAGTACTCACAAAACATAAACTATTAGTTTGGGGTTTTTAATTATTATTAAACTGTGAATATTCACTCAAATAAACAAAATATAATAAAATGAACATTAAGGTGCAGCTTTTCGATGAACTGAAATAATCTGTATTTGAACTGTACTGTACTAGTACCTAGCAGCCAGCTTGACATTAGAACTTGCTTGTCATTGTATTTTCATGTTTTTTTAAAGAAAGATGAACTTGTCCACATTGCTTGCCGAAAGGGCAGATCTGCTGGCACTAACAATGTCTCCTGCTGTGGAGAACACCCTCTCTCTAGGGACAGAGGTAGCAGATACAGCCAGGTAGCGCTTTGCTAACATGGCAACATAAGGATATTTGGCGTTTGTAATAGCTTTGGCTCGGTCTGAACTCTCTGCGAGTGGTGGAGGCTTAAACGCTAGCGGGAGCTGGGTTTGCACTTCAGTCTTTTTTCTTTTGGTACCGGTGATATTCACGTTCGGGTGATGCCTTTTCAAGAGTGTGCAAGTTTGATGTATTGCCAGCCGCGTAACCAATTTTAGTTGAACAATGCCGACAAACAGCTTTGGTTCGGTCCACCTGTCTTTGTCCGTCATCCTTGTTCGTAACTGCGAAACCAAAATGTTCCCAAACCGGAGACTTCAATGATGCTGGAGGATTTTCGAGCTCAACTTTATCTGCGTTCGCCATTTCGACAGTTCCTCAAATTACTGACTACATTTGAACGCATCCCTCTGACCAGCTCTCATAGTATGCCTCTCGTCCAATTAAATGACTTGCTCGCTCTATGACGCGTTGAACCCAATGTGAGCAAATTACTCTGAATGCTGCGACGCAGCACCTGAGATTACTTCCAAAAAGTTGTTCACGTTCTCAATTTTTTACGTTTAACGTTATATTCGTTCGGTACACTTCGGTACACTTCGGTACACACGTGTACCGAACCGAAGGGCCCGTACCGAATAATTTCGGTACGGGTACTTGTACCGTTACACCCCTAATAATGACGCTAAATCAAAAGCCAGCAGTCCTTTTTTTTTAGCTCATAAGTTAAGTGGAACCTCAGAATTCCCTAAAAAATCAGGGATGTTAAAAATGCTGGTTTGTTGGTAGTTGTCTGACTTAAATTGCAATAGTTATAGAGAGATGCGCAGCAACAGCAAATGGCAAGTGTGGAGGAAATTCTTCAGAGACACTGATAAATGATTAATGTAGGAACAGAGCTTCTTCTTCCTCAGAGACCCTGAACACAGCTAACAGTCACACTATATCGGGTCGGGGTGGCGCAGTGGTCTGTGCATCTGATCGTCAGATCAAGGGGGGGGGGCTGGGGAACTCCAGTTCGAAATCCGCTCCTGCCGCCACTGCGTGTCTTGGATTTGCTCCTGTGGGTAATGTCCACAGTACATGTATGATACCAATGTGTACTTGTAAAAGCGCCTCGATGACCTCGAGGCGTGAAGATGGACGGTGTGGCGCAGTGCGCTGTGCAATGATCATCAGATCAAGGGGTGAAACCCGCCGCTGCTGCGTCTGTAAAGCCGGTGTGTCCTTGGGCAAGACACTTCACCTGAACTTGCTCCTGTGGGTATTGTCCACAGTGACCATTGCATGTATAAAAAATATGTGTGATGTGTATTTGTAAAGCGCTTTGAGCATCTGGAAAAGCGCTATAATAAATGTAAGGAATTATTATTATTATTATTATATGGTAGAGAGAATAGCCAACTGGTCCCACCCTTAAATTATCTTATTCATCATCTAAACATCCCCATCATTAAACCATAAAACCCCCCAGTCCTTTAACCATTTGCAAATCCACCTTTTACACTTCCTTTGCCCTCCAGAAATGTAAATCCTTAACATATGTCTCTGTTAAACACACACAAGACTACAAATGAAGTTTAACAGAGTAAAGGCAATCAGAGTATAGTGACGCGTTTCCACTATAGCGGGTAGCTCGCTTTAAGCGTGCCGAGCTGTGCGGGGCCCGTTTTTGGTTGCGTTTCCACTTGGCCTAGTTTAAATCGTGGTTCTAGGGCCAGGAACAACCAGGCTGAGTCGGGCTGAGTATGCTAAACTAGAGAGAGAATCGCTGGCAAGGGGGCTACAACTACAACAAGATGAACATATTTGACCGTGATTTAATTGTAATACACGTTTCAAAGTGATGCCGAAGTAACAACATACTGATACCGGTTAGTAAAAACCATGAATTAATGCTTTGACAAGTCTGCAGACAGACGGCAGGCGAAAAACCCTTTTAAAATGCGTGCTTTCTAAATGGAGCTTGGCTAAGCTAACGTTATATATGCTCCGACCGTCCACACTCACAACAACGGCCTATACAGACATAAATAAAGCAGCGACTGTATTCGCCATGACACAGGCAGTCTGTGGTTTGTACTTGTTTAACTTTTGTCTAGTTTCTGAACAGATATGAGGAGCTGTGAGCTCTGAGTGCTAACAGCTAACGGCTGTGTTGTTTTTCTGGGGCTCTCATTGAAGATGACGTCACGGCTCCGCCTACACTGCGTTACTATAGTAACTGCCCCAGTTCCTAAACTGTAATGGAAGCGCAGCATTAAAGTGAACCGGGCCTAATAAGGCCTAACCAAACCGAGCGAGGCCGAGCGAGGACTGCAGTGGAAACGCGCCATTAGACTATATGTTTTTAATGATTATATGATAATTTGACACGACATCAAGCAAGCAGCAAAGCATTTAGAACAGCGGTGTCCAAACTACGGCCCGGGGGTCAAATGCGGGGTCAACTTATTCACATAACAATCTTGAAATACAACCTTCATATTTCTCCTTATTATAATCAATCTAAAGCTTCTGTTTTAAGGAATGAGCTGCCAACACCCACAAGCATCATTTACCTACATTTGATTGATTTTGCTAACTTATAACTGAACTTATGAGGCGATATTCCTCTAGTGAGCGGCCCAGCCCTTCGTATGTTTTTCTGTATGTGGCCATCGGTGAAAAAAGTTTGGACACCCCTGACTTAGATGAAGATAGTTTCTCCCCCCTCTCCTCTCTCTGTAGAGTTTGCACCACCCCGGCGTGGTGAACCTGGACTGCATGTTTGAGACTCCGGAGAGAGTGTTTGTCGTCATGGAGAAGCTCCACGGAGACATGCTGGAGATGATCCTGTCCAGTGAGAAGGGACGGCTGCCGGAGAGGATCACCAAGTTCATGGTCACTCAGGTACAGAGTCGCAATTCTGAGAAATATAATTTTAAAAAAAGGAGGCGTGTGGCGCAGTGGACTATTGCGTTGGTGTTCGGAACAGGGGAGCACAGGTTCAAACCCCACTGCAGTCAGCATGTCGTTGTGTCCAGTGGCGGATTTAGGATTGTAGGATATCCGGGGCTTAGTCACAAATTTGAAGTTGTTGATCGGGGGGGGCAGTGAACTGTGGACTCGCAGCGGGGGTAGTACGCAGGCTACTGTCCCGCAGCTGCTGCCTCTCTGTTGGACTCCGGTACTGCACATTACTGACGAGACGTTTCTCAGTGAAACATTCGGGGCTTTTCAGAAAACATCCGGGGCTTGAGCCCAAGTAGCCACCCATTAGCCACCCAGTAGCCACCCCGTAGCGCTGCCACTGGTTGTGTCCCTGGGCACACTTCACCCCAAATTGCTCCGGTGGGGATTACCCACAGTATTGAATGTATGTAAATTGCTTTGGATAAAAGCGTCTAACAAGTAACATGTAATTTAAAAATATGTCGGAATATTGAAAGAAAATGTTGAGAAAAAAGTCTGAAATCTTTATGAGAAAAAAATAAAGAATATTGAGAAAAATAGTCTTAATTCGGAGAAAAAAGACGGACTATTGAGAAAAGAAGTCGGAAATTGATATTCTATCTAGAACAAGAGAAAACCCAGATCTTCCTTAGGCGATATTCAGCATCCTTTGGCCCTTAGTTGAGCCAACTAGCGTTTCCCCTAAGCCCCGCCTCCAATCCTCTCCCTCACAGCAGCGTCAAATGAACGGAAAGGCTTGTGACGAATTATTGATTGTTGAGTAATCCTGAAACTGTGACCCTTTTTTAATTTCAACTTCAGATCCTGGTGGCTTTGCGTCATCTTCACTTCAAGAACATCGTCCACTGTGATCTGAAACCTGAAAACGTCCTTCTGGCTTCTGCAGATGCATTTCCACAGGTACTGTGTGTGTGTGTGTGTGTGTGTGTGTGTGTGTGTGTGTGTGTGTGTGTGTGTGTGTGTGTGTGTGTGTGTGTGTGTGTGTGTGTGTGTGTGTGTGTGTGTGTGTGTGTGTGTGTGTGTGTGTGTGTGTGTGTGTGTGTGTGTGTGTGTGTGTGTGTGTGTGTGTGTGTGTGTGTGTGTGTGTGTGTGTGTGTGTGTGTGTGTGTGTGTGTGTGTGTGTGTGTGTGTGTGTGTGTGTGTGTGTGTGTGTGTGTGTGTGTGTGTGTGTGTGTGTGTGTGTGTGTGTGTGTGTGTGTGTGTGTGTGTGTGTGTGTGTGTGTGTGTGTGTAGCTAGTTATTTGGTTTATTTATAGTGCTGGACTTAGGGTACCACATTTGTATGTGTTATAATTCATTCATACAAACCGTTCTAACTTGTTGTGCAGACGTCTTTAAGTTTGGGATATTTTATGAAATGCATATAGGCAAGATATGGACAGTATAAAGGCTCAGTAAAAACAGGTTTGAACTGAAAAGCCAAACTCAAAATGAGGAGATCCCTAAGGCAGCTGCCCATTGGATGAGCCGGGGAGGAACATAAATGGAAGTGTGTCAGTACATTTTCCACTGGTCTGATTGTGAAGTGGGAAAAGGGGCCGAAGAATGAAATGGTTATATGATTGGGAGTAAATTACAGGTATGTAGGGCAGGTGAGAGTGTTAGACACACAAAGAACATATATGCCAGCAGGGGCTAGAAGTAGTGGAGTACAAATACTTTGTTACTGTACTTCAGTACCTGTTTCTGGTATCAGAAACTACTTTTTACATGTTGAACTCAAATACCTGTACTTTCTACTTCTTACATGTTGAACTCAAATACCTGTACTTTCTACTTCTTACATTTTGAACTCAAATACCTGTACTTTCTACTTCTTACATGTTGAACTCAAATACCTGTACTTTCTACTTCTCACATGTTGAACACAAATACCTGTACTTTCTACTTCTTACATGTTGAACACAAATACCTGTACTTTCTACTTCTTACATGTTGAACTCAAATACCTGTACTTTCTACTTCTCACATGTTGAACTCAAATACCTGTACTTTCTACTTCTTACATGTTGAACACAAATACCTGTACTTTCTACTTCTTACATGTTGAACTCAAATACCTGTACTTTCTACTTCTTACATGTTGAACTCAAATACCTGTACTTTCTACTTCTTACATGTTGAACACAAATACCTGTACTTTCTACTTCTTACATGTTGAACTCAAATACCTGTACTTTCTACTTCTTACATGTTGAACACAAATACCTGTACTTTCTACTTCTTACATGTTGAACACAAATACCTGTACTTTCTACTTCTTACATGTTGAACTCAAATACCTGTACTTTCTACTTCTTACATGTTGAACTCAAATACCTGTACTTTCTACTTCTTACATGTTGAACTCAAATACCTGTACTTTCTACTTCTCACATGTTGAACTCAAATACCTGTACTTTCTACTTCTCACATGTTGAACTCAAATACCTGTACTTTCTACTTCTTACATGTTGAACTCAAATACCTGTACTTTCTACTTCTTACATGTTGAACTCAAATACCTGTACTTTCTACTTCTCACATGTTGAACTAAAATACCTGTACTTTCTACTTCTTACATGTTGAACTCAAATACCTGTACTTTCTACTTCTTACATGTTGAACTCAAATACCTGTACTTTCTACTTCTTACATGTTGAACTCAAATACCTGTACTTTCTACTTCTTACATGTTGAACTCAAATACCTGTACTTTCTACTTCTTACACTTTGAACTCAAATACCTGTACTTTCTACTTCTTACATGTTGAACCCAAATACCTGTACTTTCTACTTCTTACATGTTGAACTCAAATACCTGTACTTTCTACTTCTTACATGTTGAACTCAAATACCTGTACTTTCTACTTCTTACATGTTGAACTCAAATACCTGTACTTTCTACTTCTTACATGTTGAACCCAAATACCTGTACTTTCTACTTCTCACATGTTGAACTCAAATACCTGTACTTTCTACTTCTTACATGTTGAACTCAAATACCTGTACTTTCTACTTCTTACATGTTGAACTCAAATACCTGTACTTTCTACTTCTTACATGTTGAACTCAAATACCTGTACTTTCTACTTCTTACATGTTGAACACAAATACCTGTACTTTCTACTTCTTACATGTTGAACTCAAATACCTGTACTTTCTACTTCTCTCATTTTCCAAACAGCTGGTTCCTTTAGTCTGAATGTGTGTTTGGTGCGTGATCATTATTCTTTAGAGTCATTGCTTGCCTATTGATTTGAACACGATCCGTGTATCCATCATTTCCTGGTCTTCTCTAAAGAAGAGGGACCAATGGAAACGTTGTCATGTTGCCGTTGTTCAGCATGGAAACATTCATTAGCTAACAATGACATTATTGTTCTATTAATATAAAGGGAGGTCAGGTACTCTTTAAAGCAGCTGCTAGTTATAGGTACTTTTTACTGAAGTACACTTCAAAGCCTCTTTACTTTTACTTGAGTCAAGAAGTTTAGTCAGTACTTCTACTTTCACCATTTTTAAACACGAGTATCTGTACTTCTACTTGAGTAAAGGATGTGTGTACTTTTGCCATCTCTGTATGACAGGAGAAGAAACTTGATGTGAAACATGGAGTCTACCGACAAAAACTCCACACTTACATTTAAAACGTATTAAAAAAACACTGAAAGCATCTCGGAGCTGAAACATACAATAATGTGCCAGAAAAAGGTTAAGAGCTGTTTCGAACCATGCTGCATTATATTCGGAGGTGACACAAAGAGAGGGACCAAACATACGTCTATAAGTCTACAGTGTATAAATACACATAGAGGGCCGAGGTGCAACAGACAGTCCATTAGCTTTCATGAGCTTTGTGCAGTTTTCTCCTCTCCAGAAAAAGCTGTTAGACAGACTGTTATCTGTTGTGATGATGCAACACACTTTACTTTCTGTGTATCATCACTAAACCTGCTACTCTGAATTATAAAACTAAATGTCTCGAAGAGGTCGTGTGAAAACAAAGAGGAACCCAAAGATCTACTTGAATGTGCCAATTATTGTTAACGATCCAATTAGCAACAGTTGGATATCAGAAATTACGTCAAGGACCAAATCATCTCATACCTAGCCAATTAATACTTAAGCTTTTCACATTTTATCCATCCATCCATCCATCCATCTTCTCCCGCTTATCCGTGGTCGGGTCGTGGGGGTAGCAGTTCCAGCAGAGAGCCCCAAACTTTCTTTTCCCTGGCGACATCAACCAGCTCTGACTGGGGGGTCCCAAGGCGCTCCCAGGCCAGCGAAGAGATATAATCCCTCCACCTGGTCCTAGGTCTACCCCTTGGTCTCTTCCCAGCTGGACGTGCCTGGAACACCTCCCTAGGGAGGCGCCCAGGTGGCATCCTAACTAGGTGCCCGAACCACCTCAACTGGCTCCTTTCGACGCGAAGGAGGAGCGGCACAACTCCGAGTCCCTCCCGGATGACTGAACTTCTCACCTTATCCCTAAGGGAGACACCAGCCACCCTGCGGAGAAAACCCATCTCGACCGCTTGTATCCGCGATCTCGTTCTTTCGGTCATGACCCATCCTTCATGACCATAGGTGAGGGTAGGAACGAAAATGGCCCGGTAGACAGAGAGCTTTGCCTTCTGGCTTAGCTCCCTTTTCGTCACAACGGTGTGGTAAAGCGACTGCAGTACCGCTCCCGCTGCTCCGATTCTCCGGCCCATCTCACGCTCCATTGTTCCCTCACTCGAGAACAAGACCCAGAGATATTTTAAAGCTACTAAAAAGCTAAACCATCTTTAGATTGGATTCAGAAATGTCATTTTGGCCAAATATGTTCTTCATATGTTGCTCTCAACAAGGACTACTTATTTCCATTCTTGCAGGTTGTTAGGGCTGTACAAGGGCGTGGAATCAAATGCACGATGCAGAGACAAACAAAGCATCCAAATAAAGTGTTTTAATGTAGACAGGTCATAACAGACTGAATACATAAAGCAACAAAACAAAAACTACTAATACACTAACTCTATGGACGATAACTCTATGGATAATGACAAAAGGATCTTACGCTGGAAGGCTTGGAACACACAAGACAATCTGGCAACGAGACAGGGGAAGACGAGAACTATATATATACTAGACAGACAACACCAGGTGAAGACAATTAGACAATCACAACCGTGGGAAAACAGACAAGGCAGGAAACGTACTTTAGACACATGAGGGTAGACAAGACTATCAAAATAAAACAGGAACCTATCGAAACACATAACATGAAACCTAGAGGGAACAATCTTAGCAGAGCCGTCTACGCACAACACAGGTATTTGTTTATAGAGCCAGCAACATTTCAGCTAAACCGTTAGCTTTAAAGATAAGTAGATATTATAAAACTAAAGAACTTTAATCCTTGGTAAGGTAAACAGAATATGTATTAGATATTGTGAAAGTCTTAGAGGAGCATCATACTCCAAAATGTTGGGCCAGACCAGAGACATTTGACTCTAAACCGATTCATGGGATAGTAGAGCAGACTAATGATGCACAAGACGAAGATAAGAGTTTATACGTGCCAATTATTGTTAACAATCCAATTAGCAACAGTTGAAATATCAGAAAGTACGTCAATGACCAAATCATCTCACACCTAGCCAAATGATACTTCAATCAGGAGAGACGTGATGTATGGAATACATATTTATTATCGGTCACATTATATAAATGAAACATAATGATGACAGTTTATAACAAGTGAATGAAATGGTGTTTTGGCGATTAGGCCCAGGTTTTGTAGGATATCAATCGGGAAGGGAAGAACCGTTTCCGATGAACCCCCCTGGGTCTAGACACTGGTGGTGGTGATAAGTGGTTAGGTCCGGTTGGAAGGGAGAAGCTTAAGCTTGGCCCTGAGTTGAAAGCAGGAGGCGAAGGGGTGGAGGAGGGTTGCGCGTTGACACCTGGAAGACAGCTGATAGGAAAGGGGAGAGCATATATAGAGGGATTAACAGGTGCGATGATTAGGCTTGTGAATGGAGGGGAGTGATAGGTTAGCTGAGGAGTGGCGCTCCCTGTCATTTAGTGCAGGGAACGAGTATTGCCATGACGTGCAATACGGAGTGATAGGTCTTCCTGTCTGAACTTGCGCTAAGCTTCATTTGTGCTTTTTCTTGCATTTAAAGTTTTTAAGCTAAACATTTTGGGCCAGACCCGAGCAAATTGACTCAGTCTCTAAACTGATTAATAAAGATTGACTAATGATCCACAAAACAACGTAACATGTTAGCATTGTTTTTTAATGTTTTCCATGTTACAGGTAAAGCTGTGTGATTTTGGCTTTGCGAGGATTATCGGTGAAAAGTCGTTCAGGCGTTCGGTGGTCGGCACGCCGGCGTACCTCGCCCCGGAGGTCCTGAGGAACAAAGGATACAACCGCTCTCTGGACATGTGGTCGGTCGGAGTCATCATTTACGTCAGGTAGGACACAAACAGGATTTCCGTTCTTTTACATCAGGTCTAAAACCACGGGACTCAGAGACAGTGTCATCCCAACAGGCCATAAGACTAATAAACACATGAACTTTTGAAAGAACATCCATAAACATACGGAGCCCCCTATGTGACAAGGAGAAAGAAAACCTTTTCGCAAAACCTTTGTGATATCTCGAACATTTTTCATTTAGCTCAATGTACTTCCGGGTTAGTTCGACGACACAGAAACCACAACAATGGAGCGGTTCATCGATTTTTACTTTGAGCTTGGCCTAAAATATAAAGATATAAGATCAGTGCTTGGCAATAGGCACGGGTTTCACATAAGTGAAAGACACCTCAAGAGAACACTCAGACCCCGTTTACACGAGAACAAAACGGGTTGGATCCGCATAGTTTCTCTTGTGTATAGCCCTTTCATTTACACGAGGCCGTAACAAAACGATAGAAACGGACCCCACAAGGTGGATACTTTGCAAACGAAACGCTCTGGGGGGTCCAACGGCTCCGTGTAATCGCCTCTATACGATCATTTCCTGAAAAAATAACGATAGCCCCGCCTCCCCCCACTGTTGTTTGTGCCTCACACATCCGGGGGGGATCTTATACTCGCTGCTTTTGGTGTATTTTGTGGCGAAAGTTACAGCGCCAGTTACAGGCCCGGCATATGTACTACAGCGTTTCCAGCGTTCTCGTGTGAACAGACACGTTAAACGAATACGTGTGAACGGAAGACTTGAAAACGCATACTGTGCATAAACGCAAACGTTCCCGTGTGAGCAGCACCTCAGAGCGAGGGGACATGCACGTCGCAAAGCATACCCTGAGCTGAGTTATTGGCAGATTCAAATTTCACGGATCAATAACTCATGAACATAACGTTGTAAAAATACAAACAACGTGACTTTACGATGTTTAGTCATCTGAGCTAAACATCAATAATTGGTCACAATCTGCAGCTGGAGGAGAGAGGAGTGCTTAGGGACCGTCTACAATCTGCAGCTGGAGGAGAGAGGAGTCCTTAGGGACCGTCTACAATCTGCAGCTGGAGGAGAGAGGAGTGCTTAGGGACCGTCTACAATCTGCAGCTGGAGGAGAGAGGAGTCCTTAGGGACCGTATACAATCTGCAGCTGGAGGAGAGAGGAGTGCTTAGGGACCGTATACAATCTGCAGCTGGAGGAGAGAGGAGTCCTTAGGGACCGTCTACAAACTGCAGCTGGAGGAGAGAGGAGTGCTTAGGGGCCGTCTACAATCTGCAGCTGGAGGAGAGAGGAATGCTTAGGGACCGTCTACAATCTGCAGCTGGAGGAGAGAGGAATGCTTAGGGACCGTCTACAATCTGCAGCTGGAGGAGAGAGGAGTGCTTAGGGGCCGTCTACAATCTGCAGCTGGAGGAGAGAGGAGTGCTTAGGGACCTTCTACAATCTGCAGCTGGAGGAGAGAGGAGGGCTTAGGGACCGTCTACAATCTGCAGCTGGAGGAGAGAGGAGTGCTTAGGGACCGTCTACAAACTGCAGCTGGAGGAGAGAGGAGTGCTTAGGGACCGTCTCCAATCTGCAGCTGGAGGAGAGAGGAGTGCTTAGGAACCGTCTACAATCTGCAGCTGGAGGAGAGAGGAGTGCTTAGGAACCGTCTACAAACTGCAGCTGGAGGAGAGAGGAGTGCTTAGGGACCGTCTACAATCTGCAGCTGGAGGAGAGAGGAGTGCATAGGGACCGTCTACAATCTGCAGCTGGAGGAGAGAGGAGTGCTTAGGGACCGTCTACAATCTGCAGCTGGAGGAGAGAGGAGTGCTTAGGGACCGTCTACAATCTGCAGCTGGAGGAGAGAGGAGTCCTTAGGGACCGTCTACAATCTGCAGCTGGAGGAGAGAGAGGAGTGCTTAGGAACCGTCTACAATCTGCAGCTGGAGGAGAGAGGAGTGCTTAGGGACCGTCTACAATCTGCAGCTGGAGGAGAGAGGAGTCCTTAGGGACCGTCTACAATCTGCAGCTGGAGGAGAGAGGAGTGCTTAGGGACCGTCTACAATCTTCAGCTGGAGGAGAGAGGAGTGCTTAGGGGCCGTCTACAATCTGCAGCTGGAGGAGAGAGGAGTGCTTAGGGACCGTCTACAATCTTCAGCTGGAGGAGAGAGGAGTGCTTAGGGGCCGTCTACAATCTGCAGCTGGAGGAGAGAGGAGTCCTTAGGGACCGTCTACAATCTGCAGCTGGAGGAGAGAGGAGTGCTTAGGGACCGTCTACAATCTTCAGCTGGAGGAGAGAGGAGTCCTTAGGGACCGTCTACAATCTGCAGCTGGAGGAGAGAGGAGTGCTTAGGGACCGTCTACAATCTGCAGCTGGAGGAGAGAGGAGTGCTTAGGGACCGTCTACAATCTGCAGCTGGAGGAGAGAGGAGAGCTTAGGGACCGTCTACAATCTGCAGCTGGAGGAGAGAGGAGTGCTTAGGGACCGTCTACAATCTGCAGCTGGAGGAGAGAGGAGTGCTTAGGGACCGTCTACAATCTGCAGCTGGAGGAGAGAGGAGTGCTTAGGGACCGTCTACAATCTGCAGCTGGAGGAGAGAGGAGTCCTTAGGGACCGTCTACAATCTGCAGCTGGAGGAGAGAGGAGTGCTAAGGGACCTTTTACAATCTGCAGCTGGAGGAGAGAGGAGTGCTTAGGGACCGTCTACAATCTGCAGCTGGAGGAGAGAGGAGTCCTTAGGGACCGTCTACAATCTGCAGCTGGAGGAGAGAGGAGTGCTTAGGGACCGTCTACAATCTGCAGCTGGAGGAGAGAGAGGAGTGCTTAGGGGCCGTCTACAATCTGCAGCTGGAGGAGAGAGGAGTGCTTAGGGGCCGTCTACAATCTGCAGCTGGAGGAGAGAGGAGTGCTTAGGGACCTTCTACAATCTGCAGCTGGAGGAGAGAGGAGGGCTTAGGGACCGTCTACAATCTGCAGCTGGAGGAGAGAGGAGTGCTTAGGGACCGTCTACAAACTGCAGCTGGAGGAGAGAGGAGTGCTTAGGGACCGTCTACAATCTGCAGCTGGAGGAGAGAGAGGAGTGCTTAGGGGCCGTCTACAATCTGCAGCTGGAGGAGAGAGGAGTGCTTAGGGGCCGTCTACAATCTGCAGCTGGAGGAGAGAGGAGTGCTTAGGGACCTTCTACAATCTGCAGCTGGAGGAGAGAGGAGGGCTTAGGGACCGTCTACAATCTGCAGCTGGAGGAGAGAGGAGTGCTTAGGGACCGTCTACAAACTGCAGCTGGAGGAGAGAGGAGTGCTTAGGGACCGTCTCCAATCTGCAGCTGGAGGAGAGAGGAGTGCTTAGGAACCGTCTACAATCTGCAGCTGGAGGAGAGAGGAGTGCTTAGGAACCGTCTACAAACTGCAGCTGGAGGAGAGAGGAGTGCTTAGGGGCCGTCTACAATCTGCAGCTGGAGGAGAGAGGAGTGCATAGGGACCGTCTACAATCTGCAGCTGGAGGAGAGAGGAGTGCTTAGGAACCGTCTACAAACTGCAGCTGGAGGAGAGAGGAGTGCTTAGGGACCGTCTACAATCTGCAGCTGGAGGAGAGAGGAGTGCTTAGGGACCGTCTACAATCTGCAGCTGGAGGAGAGAGGAGTGCTTAGGGACCGTCTACAATCTGCAGCTGGAGGAGAGAGGAGTCCTTAGGGACCGTCTACAATCTGCAGCTGGAGGAGAGAGAGGAGTGCTTAGGAACCGTCTACAATCTGCAGCTGGAGGAGAGAGGAGTGCTTAGGGACCGTCTACAATCTGCAGCTGGAGGAGAGAGAGGAGTGCTTAGGGGCCGTCTACAATCTGCAGCTGGAGGAGAGAGGAGTGCTTAGGGACCGTCTACAATCTGCAGCTGGAGGAGAGAGGAGTGCTTAGGAACCGTCTACAATCTGCAGCTGGAGGAGAGAGGAGTGCTTAGGGACCTTCTACAATCTGCAGCTGGAGGAGAGAGGAGTGCTTAGGGACCGTCTACAATCTGCAGCTGGAGGAGAGAGGAGTGCTTAGGGACCGTCTACAATCTGCAGCTGGAGGAGAGAGGAGTGCTTAGGAACCGTCTACAATCTGCAGCTGGAGGAGAGAGGAGTGCTTAGGGACCGTCTACAATCTGCAGCTGGAGGAGAGAGGAGTGCTTAGGGACCGTCTACAATCTGCAGCTGGAGGAGTGCTTAGGGACTGTCTCCAATCTGCAGCTGGAGGAGAGAGGAGTGCTTAGGGACCGTCTGCAATCTGCAGCTGGAGGAGAGAGGAGTGCTTAGGGACTGTCTGCAATCTGCAGCTGGAGGAGAGAGGAGTGCTTAGGGGCCGTCTACAATCTGCAGCTGGAGGAGAGAGGAGTGCTTAGGGACCGTCTACAATCTGCAGCTGGAGGAGAGAGGAGTGCTTAGGGACCGTCTGCAATCTGCAGCTGGAGGAGAGAGGAGTGCTTAGGGACTGTCTGCAATCTGCAGCTGGAGGAGAGAGGAGTGCTTAGGGGCCGTCTACAATCTGCAGCTGGAGGAGAGAGGAGTGCTTAGGGACCGTCTACAATCTGCAGCTGGAGGAGAGAGGAGTGCTTAGGGACCGGCTGCAAACTGCAGCTGGAGGAGAGAGGAGTGCTTAGGGACCGTCTACAATCTGCAGCTGGAGGAGAGAGGAGTGCTTAGGGACCGTCTACAATCTGCAGCTGGAGGAGAGAGGAGTGCTTAGGGACCGGCTGCAAACTGCAAAGCCGAAAAGATATACTCATGGAAAAATTCAATAACTTCATTTTTTTAAGATATAGAACTACCAAAATCTCTTAACACATCAATGGTTATGTTGTTGTTACAGTATAACACTTATTTTTGAATAAATATGCTTTTAAATATTTTTCAGGCTTTTTCATTTCAAACTATTTTAAATGACTTTGACATTTTACAATGTAGTGCAACCAAACCCCTTTCACACATCAATAGTACATTGCTGCTCATACTACATCAGGGGTATCCAAACTACGGTCCGGGGGCATATAATGAATAAAGTATAATGAAACATGGCCCACAATATGGTGGGCCATGGTGTTAATAAGCCCACATTTTATAACAAATCTAAGTTGATAAGAAAAATGCTCAATAACTTATTTAAATAACATATATTTCACATGTTTCCATATTTCTCTGCTTTGGCAGTCTCAGTGGGACGTTCCCTTTCAACGAAGATGAAGATATCAACGATCAGATCCAGAACGCTGCCTTCATGTACCCTCCTCACCCGTGGAATAAAGTCTCCCAGGAAGGTATTTCACATTTAAGACCAAACAGCTGACAAGTGGATCTTAAATTCAGTCCAGTTACTTTTGGTACTTTAACTATATTTTGATGATAATACTTTTCTACTTTTACTTGGGTAACAGAATGCAGGAATTGTACTGTAACAGAGTATTCCTACACTCTGGTACTTCTATTTTTACTGAAGTACAAGATCTGAGTACTTCTACTTTTACTCAAGATCTGAGTACTTCTACTTTTACTCAAGTACAAGATCTGAGTACTTCTACTTTTACTGAAGTACAAGATCTGAGTACTTCTACTTTTACTGAAGTACAAGATCTGAGTACTTCTACTTTTACTCAAGATCTGAGTACTTCTACTTTTACTCAAGTACAAGATCTGAGTACTTCTACTTTTACTCAAGTACAAGATCTGAGTACTTCTACTTTTACTCAAGTACCAGATCTGAGTACTTCTACTTTTACTCAAGTACAAGATCTGAGTACTTCTACTTTTACTCAAGTACCAGGTCTGAGTACTTCTACTTTTACTCAAGTACCAGATCTGAGTACTTCTACTTGTACTCAAGTACCAGATCTGAGTACTTCTACTTGTACTCAAGTACCAGATCTGAGTACTTCTACTTTTACTCAAGTACCAGGTCTGAGTACTTCTACTTTTACTCAAGTACCAGATCTGAGTACTTCTACTTTTACTCAAGTACCAGGTCTGAGTACTTCTACTTTTACTCAAGTACCAGATCTGAGTACTTCTACTTTTACTCAAGTACCAGATCTGAGTACTTCTACTTGTACTCAAGTACCAGATCTGAGTACTTCTACTTTTACTCAAGTACCAGATCTGAGTACTTTTCCCACCTAAAAAACAAAAAAATAACATTTTGGAAAGATATAACTATAAACTGCGTCTGCCCAAGTTGGCGTTTTCAAGCAGATAACTCTGGTACATTTATGTTTCTGTAAAAACACACATTGAGTTGCTGCATAGGGTTATCATCCTTCCTCTACCAACACAGATAAATAGTGTTAAACCTTCCTTACTGCCATGTAACGGTTTGTTTCACCTCTCTGTATGATTTGGTGCTTATTTCTCATCTTCTATCATCAGGTTATTATTTCCTCCTCCTTCAGGTTTTCTCTGAAGTCTCTCTGGTGTTTCGTGACTCATTCTGTTTTCGTCATTGTCTATAAATGTTGTCTGGAATGGCCCCGTTGACTACGAGACAGATTTAAATCCGCCTGACTCACTCTCCTCGGCTCGTTTCTCCCGAAGTGCCGTTAACCTTTCGTCCACCTCCTCATCCCACTATAGCAACTTCAGAATAAACGTTGAAAGAAAGACGTTTCCTGTGAATAGATTTCAGAGGATAAACTCTTTGTGCGTCAACAAATCTGCATTTTCAAAGATCGCTCAGAGAGAAGACACTTTAAATGGATTCTGTCACAGAACTCATGTTTCCTTCTGCCCACAAACACGACTCGTAACAGGAAGTTTCATAATGGGAACACTTGAATAAAGACGTCTGGTTTATGATCACAATGCTGCAAAGATACCATGATCATAGATGGAATATTATCTCTCGGCGAATTGAAAGTACTTATTGCCTGAGATCGCATGCTGTGGTTTTATTAAATGTGCCAAGTGCTAGGACTGTCTTAGGGAAGAAAGCTTTCAGATGTGCAGCTCCACTAACATCGAACAGTCTGCAAAAAGAATGGAACATTACCAAGCTAGTACCACTACATGTTTTTAAAGCTCGGTTGGATGCTACACAATCAGATGCTGTTGGTACCTGTACATGTGGTTAAATATGTAAATTGTAATCCCTGTACATTTTGCTGTATGATGTCCTTTTGTTGTTCTGTTGTTTATGTTTGTATGTCTTCGTGTGGAACCTACTGTTGCAGGTCTCCCTTGAAAAAGAGATCATTGATCTCAATGGGATTTTACCTGGATAAATAAAGGTTTTGAATTGAATTGAACAAAAAGATGTAACATGAGGCACTTTTGGCAGAGAATAGAATAGTCAGTCAATTATGTTGTTTTTATCCAAGTTTATGATTCAATATACTGAGTAGAACATTTTGAATCTAATGCTCAAAGCTTGATTGCATTAAACCACATTAAACGATTGAATGGTCTTTCATGCTTTTAGGTGGGACAAAGTCCTCTTTATAAACGGTGGTGTTCTGTATGACGAGCTCAACAATGGTTCAACCGAACTGAGATTTGAAAAGGCAGAAAGAGACCAGAATCCTTTTGAGGAATGGTTTAATAAGAATAGCTTAAATCACCAGTCATTCGTGAGAGAAATTGTGTTCAGATTCAAACAGGAAGTGGTTTCGGTTTCAGCGTCAGTTTTTTCAAACCTCAATAATGACTGAAAATGAGTTTAGAGTTATCATTGTTGGACCTGGAGAAACACAGATAAACTTGAGATAAGATAAGACTTTATTTATCCCGAAGGAAATTGTTGTATCAGAGTTACAAAGATGCAATAATAATAAAACTGTACACTAACGGTACGTCCACACAGCAGCATTAAAAAAATCTTCCAACGCTTCTGCCCATTCACTTTGAATGGGTTGACGTCACTTTGCCTCATTTTTCGCCGAACTGCTTTGTGGGAAGCAAAGCGGAGATTTCCAGGCATCTCAGGATTCAAAAGTTGAGCAATGTTCAACTTTTGAGTCTTCTGAAGCTTTCGGTGGAAGCGTCAGCCAATCAAATCATATGCCAGTACAAGCTCTATCCAATCAAACCGCTGCTGGTGTGTCAGGGGCGGGAGATTCATGTGATTGGTTGTTGGTCGAGCTTCAGACATGCTCGCCAGCAAGCTTTTTCCAAAGCCGCTGTGTGGACGTACAGTAAGTAAAAAGAGCAGTTAAAATTACCGAAATTATCGGCCGAAAATGGTTAAAAAGGCCCTTTCGGCTTTCGGCCAAAAAAAAAAAATATCACCGAATGTCAGAACAGGCTTAAGTTGGTAATCTAACGTGTTGTTGTGATGACGTAATAAAGACGCGGCGACCATGCTCGCGGCTAGCTCACAGGGGGGGGGACATTGACCTTTGTCATCGAGATTGCCCTGAGCCTTTAACAAATCGTATTAAATAATCTGATGAGAGACTGTAAACAGAATAGCTGAAATTTTAACAAACTAAATAACTCAGTTTCCTCTAATCATTAACCCATGTTTGTATCATGTAGTTAACTCCGTGTGTTGCTGCTAGCATACATAACACCTGACGTGGAAACGTTACTCGTGGATGGGGCTACAGAGCTGCTAGAAAGACGGTCGAACCCGGTACATTCCTCCGTCTGCATGCGGTGCACTTTTGCTAAATGTTTAGACAAATTGCTCGTGCTTACATGCTAAACTCTTATTGCACTTATGGTAACAAGTATTCTCCACATCGAGACGGGTAAAGTTTAACCACACCTCGGAGCGCGTTCTCTCCGCCATCTCCGCATTGTGCTCCGCTGCATGTAGCAGCTGCATGTGTGTAAACGGCCCCGCCCCCTCGCACACAGACGGGGGAGAGAGATCTCGTCTGATCGAAAATACATCATAGACGCATTTGTTGTCTTTGCATATTAGAAACGAGTTGGCGACACTAAGACTGCGATATAATGTTTTTTAGCAATAATACATGACATATATAAATGTACTGTATGCATTCAAAAGTGCTGAATAAATGTTTTATGGACCCATAATAGTGATTATTATTTAAGTTAAGTTTTGCCATAATCATGTCTATTTCCATAATCAGGTAGCTGAACAACATTGGTAAAAAATGTATACATTATATATATATATTTCTATTAATCATTTTCGGCCTTTCGGCATTCGGCTTTCGGCCAACTGTTTCCTATTTTCGGTATCGGTTTCGGCCAAGAATTTCCCATTCGGTGCACCCCTACTATATAGTTCTATGGAGTTTCAGAGAGTTCTAGAGAGTTTCAGAGAGTTCTAGAGAGTTCTATGGAGTTTCAGAGAGTTCTAGAGAGTTCCAGAGAGTTCTAGAGAGTTCCAGAGAGTCCCAGAGTCCCAGAGAGTTCTAGGGAGTTTTAGAGAGTTTCTGACGGACAGACGGGGGGTTTTAATTTGCAGCTCCATTCATGTGCATAATGGCAGAAGATGGAGGCCCCGAGACCCCGATTTGTTCAGACCGCTGACCCTGAAACAATGTTAACATCATGTTAGCTTTGCTCATTAGCCCCGAACGGCCCCTCGCAGCGTGAGCTCCGACCCCACATCATCATCATCACCATCATCATCACCATCATCATCATCATCATCATCATCATCATCATCATCATCATCATCATCCTCATCCTCCTCCTCCTCCTCCTCCTCCTCTTCTTCTTCTTCTTCTTCTTCTTCTTCTTCTTCTTCTTCTTCTTCTTCTTCTTCTTCTTCTTCTTCTTCTTCTTCTTCTTCTTCTTCTTCCTCTTCTTCTTCTTCTTCTTCTTCTTCTTCTTCTTCTTCTTCTTCTTCTTCTTCTTCTTCTTCTTCTTCTTTCCTCCATTCGGCAAAGTTCCTAAACTTCCCTTTCTTCTTTGCTTCTCCTCCTCCTCTTATTTGTATTCCCTCTGCTCTTCCTCCTTCTTTCCTCCATTCTTTCTCTTCCTAAAACTTCGGTGTGCTCTCCCTCCTGTGTCCTCGTCCTCTCCTGTCACCTATGACCCCTTGTATACACCCGGTGCAGCTAAACCCCGCCACCAAGTGTTCAAAATAGTTCCTTTGTCCTGTAAGTTTGAGCCTCCTCATTAAACTTTCTGTACAAAAGGTTAACTTAAGAAGATTAACTTCCAGGATCCAAAAGGTGTACGTTTGCAAACTTTGTCCCCCTTTTTTTAACTGCAAAGTTCCTAAACTTCCCTTCCTTCTTTCCTTCTTTCCTTCTTTCCTTCTTTCCTCCTCCTCCTCCTCCTCCTCCTCCTCCTCCTCCTCCTCCTCCACTTCAACTCAACGTTTTCTCACTCATCACTCCTTCTTACGTGCTTTTTTTCTATTCTTTTTTGCAGCGATTGACCTGATTAACAACCTTCTGCAGGTGAAGATGAGGAAGAGGTACAGTGTGGACAAGACCCTCAGTCACCCCTGGTTACAGGTAGGACTTTGATTACATATTAGGAGTTTATTAATATGTTTATTATGTGAAAAGGAAGAAAAACAACATAGAGAGAGATATGTGAAAACTGTCCATTGCCCCAGTATCACGATGAAGCTAAATCAGCTAACTCATTTTAACACAATGGTAAGAACTATATATTTGTGTTTGTACTAAATGTAAGGATACAGGAAGTGTTACAGAAAAGATAAGCGATGTGACAGTAGACCAAGGCCTATCTTTAAACAATTTAACATTTTGATTTGTTGGATTTTAGCAGTTTTTATAAAGGTTTGTCTGAATGTGTGCTTATGATTGAAGTCCAAATTAACCAAACAGATATTCTTGAGTTTCTGTTCATTCCTGGTTTTGAAAACAGAATTTGAGGTTTCGATTTTTCCTCGCCCAACACAACACCGCCTCTTATCACATGACTGATCGTCCATACTTGGGTCACATGATCACAACTTGGTTTTTTTAGGAAAACAATTCCCTGAAGGTGGTACTACAGGAAATCATTATGGTTCATCCTCTCATAAATTAAACCAAAACATTGGACAGATGGATGGATGAGTTCACACTGCAAACATTAACACATTTTAAATCAAAAAGACACATATCCAGAAATGTAAATGTAAATGTCCCCCCCCCCCCCCCCCTCAGTTTTTCACATTTGTTATTTGTTATTTTTTAATCTGTTCGAAATAAAGACTGAAAGAAAGAAAGAAAGAAGTTAGCCTTTTGTCAATATGTTTGCCCCGAATCTCCTTCCCTTAAATCAAGGGTCTGAGGATGGAGGTTTTGGGTGGTGTATAGATTGTATTTAGTTATTTACATCTGGGATTTTTTCTATTCTACAGTATTGCAATACTACCAGGTACAAATGTTTGTCCACAGCTTTAAAATTCAAAACTGCTCCACCTCAAAGATTGTTGTTCAACAGAAATTAAACCAAAACATTGGACAGATGGAAGCACCAGTTGACACTGCATACTTTAAAGGTCCCCTAGGGTGACCTTTAACACATTTTAAATCAAAAAGACACATATCCAGACATGTAAATGTCCCAATACTTCCCCTCCAGGACTACCAGATGTGGCTGGACGTGAGGAGTCTGGAGTCGCGGATGAACGAGCGCTACGTGACCCACGAGAGTGACGACCTGCGCTGGCACCACCACGCCCAGCTGAGCGGCCTGGACTACCCCCCCCACCTGCTGAATGGGCCCCGCAGTGAGGGCGCTCAGAAGCTGGAGCGGTACCAGGACCACCAGGAGGAAGAGCTGGAGACCCTGAGCGAGAGGGTCAGTGAACTCTGAGAGGGGGGATCCCATCTGAGAGAAGAAACATCAACAAAACAACAACAAAACAACAAAAAAAGCACAACATTAAAGATCTCCTATCATGCTATTATTACGCATTATGGGTGATGTTCAGGTGTATATCAGTATGTAGTGTCTCTACTTTAAAGAGTCCTCTCCTGCTGATGTTCAGGTTTGTTATATCAGTATGTAGTGTCTCTACTTTAAAGAGTCCTCTCCTGCTGATGTTCAGGTGTATATCAGTATGTAGTTGTCTCTACTTTAAAGAGTCCTCTCCTGCTGATGTTCAGGTTGTATATCAGTATGTAGTGTCTCTACTTTAAAGAGTCCTCTCTGCTGATGTTCAGGTTGTATATCAATATGTAGTGTCTCTACTTTAAAGAGTCCTCTCCTGCTGATGTTCAGGTGTATATCAGTATGTGGTTGTCTCTACTTTTTAAAGAGTCCTCTCTGCTATGTTCAGGTGTATATCAGTATGTAGTGTCTCTACTTTAAAGAGTCCTCTCCTGCTGATGTTCAGGTGTATATCAGTATGTAGTGTCTCTACTTTAAAGAGTCCTCTCCTGCTGATGTTCAGGTGTATATCAGTATGTAGTGTCTCTACTTTAAAGAGTCCTCTCCTGCTGATGTTCAGGTGTATATCAGTATGTAGTGTCTCTACTTTAAAGAGTCCTCTCCTGCTGATGTTCAGGTGTATATCAGTATGTAGTGTCTCTACTTTAAAGAGTCCTCTCCTGCTGATGTTCAGGTGTATATCAGTATGTAGTGTCTCTACTTTAAAGAGTCCTCTCCTGCTGATGTTCAGGTGTATATCAGTATGTAGTGTCTCTACTTTTAAAGAGTCCTCTCCTGCTGATGTTCAGGTTGTATATCAGTATGTAGTGTCTCTACTTTAAAGAGTCCTCTCCTGCTGATGTTCAGGTGTATATCAGTATGTAGTGTCTCTACTTTAAAAGAGTCCTCTCCTGCTGATGTTCAGGTGTATATCAGTATGTAGTGTCTCTACTTTAAGAGTCCTCTCCCTGCTGATGTTCAGGTGTATATCAGTATGTAGTGTCTCTACTTTAAGAGTCCTCTCCTGCTGATGTTCAGGTGTATATCAGTATGTAGTGTCTCTACTTTAAAGAGTCCTCTCCTGCATGATGTTCATGTGTATATCAGTATGTAGGTCTTACTTTAAAGAGTCTCTCCTGCTGATGTTCAGGTGTATATCAGTAATGTAGTGTATCTACTTTAAAGAGTCCTCTCCTGCTGATGTTCAGGTGTATATCAGTATGTAGTGTATCTACTTTAAAGAGTCCTCTCCTGCTGATGTTCAGGTGTATATCAGTATGTAGTGTCTCTACTTTAAAGAGTCCTCTCCTGCTGATGTTCAGGTGTATATCAGTGTGTAGTGTCTCTACTTTAAAGAGTTCTCTCCTGCTGATGTTCAGGTATATATCAGTATGAAGTGTCTCTACTTTAAAGAGTCCTCTCCTGCTGATGTTCAGGTGTGTATCAGTATGTAGTGTCTCTACTTTAAAGAGTCCTCTCCTGCTGATGTTCAGGTGTATATCAGTATGTAGTGTATCTACTTTAAAGAGTCCTCTCCTGCTGATGTTCAGGTGTATATCAGTATGTAGTGTCTCTACTTTAAAGAGTCCTCTCCTGCTGATGTTCAGGTGTATATCAGTGTGTAGTGTCTCTACTTTAAAGAGTTCTCTCCTGCTGATGTTCAGGTATATATCAGTATGAAGTTGTCTCTACTTTAAAGAGTCCTCTCCTGCTGATGTCAGGTGTGTATCAGTATGTAGTGTCTCTACCTTTAAAGAGTCCTCTCCTGCTGATGTCAGGTGTATATCAGTATGTAGTGTCTCTACTTTAAAGAGTCCTCTCCTGCTGATGTTCAGGTGTATATCAGTATGTAGTGTCTCTACTTTAAAGAGTCCTCTCCTGCTGATGTTCAGGTGTATATCAGTATGTAGTGTCTCTACTTTAAAGAGTCCTCTCCTGTGATGTTCAGGTGTGTATCCAGTATGTAGTGTCTCTACTACTTTTAAAGAGTCCTCTCCTGCTGATGTTCAGGTGTTTATCAGTATGTAGTGTCTCTACTTTAAGAGTCCTCTCCTGCTGATGTTCAGGTGTATATCAGTATGTAGTGTCTTCTACTTTAAAGGAGTCCTATCCTGCTGATGTTCAGGTGTATATCAGTATGTAGTGTCTCTACTTTAAAGAGTCCTCTCCTGCTGATGTTCAGGTGTATATCAGTATGTAGTGTCCTCTACTTTTAAAGAGGTCCTATCCTGCTGATGTTCAGGTGTATATCAGTATGTAGTGTCTCTACTTTAAAGAGTCCTCTCCTGTGATGTGCAGGTGTATATCAGTTATGTAGTGTCTCTACTTTAAAGAGTCCTCTCCTGCTGATGTTCAGGTGTATATCAGTATGTAGTGTCTCCTACTTAAAGAGTCCTCTCCTGCTGATGTTAGGTTTGTATATCGATGTAGTGTCTCTACTTTAAAGAGTCCTCTCCTGCTGATGTTAAGGTGTATATCAGTATGCTAGTGTCTCTAATTAAAGAGTCTTCTCCTGCTGATGTTCAGGCTGTATATCAGTATGTAGTGTCTCTACTTTAAAGAGTCCTCTCCTGCTGATGTTCAGGTGTATATCAGTATGTAGTGTCTCTACTTTAAAGAGTCCTCTCCTGCTGATGTTCAGGTGTATATCAGTATGTAGTGCCTCTACTTTAAAGAGTCTTCTCCTGCTGATGTTCAGGTGTATATCAGTATGTAGTGTCTCTACTTTAAAGAGTCCTCTCCTGCTGATGTTCAGGTGTATATCAGTATGTAGTGTCTCTACTTTAAAGAGTCCTCTCCTGCTGATGTTTCAGGTGTATATCAGTATGTAGTGTCTCTACTTTAAAGAGTCCTCTCCTGCTGATGTTCAGGTGTATATCAGTATTGTAGTGTCTCTACTTTAAAGAGTCCTCTCCTGCTGATGTTCAGGTGTATATCAGTATGTAGTGTCTCTACTTTAAAGAGTCCTCTCCTGCTGATGTTCAGGTGTATATCAATATGTAGTGTCTCTACTTTAAAGAGTCCTCTCCTGCTGATGTTCAGGTGTATATCAGTATGTCAGTGTCTCTACTTTAAAGAGTCCTCTCCTGCTGATGTTCAGGTGTATATCAGTATGTAGTGTCTCTACTTTAAAGAGTCCTCTCCTGCTGATGTTCAGGTGTATATCAGTATGTAGTGTCTCTACTTTAAAGAGTCCTCTCCTGCTGATGTTCAGGTGTATATCAGTATGTAGTGTCTCTACTGGAACATGTCTCCATGCTTTAAAGATCTCCTATAATGCTATTAAGTGCATTGTGTTTGATCGGAGACCTTTAAAGATCAGTTGAATTGATAAAATAACGAACTCATTGCGTTCACTACAAACTAAAACATCAGGTAATTATGACCAAGCATTTTATAATCAGATATCTCTTGTTTTGCCTTCACAACATTAAAGTATTGTCATTTTGACAATTGTGTTGTTATTATGTCATCCTCTTTTAGTAATTACAATTTTATTTTTATTTTGTAAATACGAACTTCTTGTCCTTTCAAGGTAATTTTATCGTAAATAGGAAATTAATTCGTAACTAAAGTATTTTATGAAATGTACTTTATTAATCCCAATTTGTGATTTAAATTGTTTTCATCCCATATTAGTTATCACCAAAACTTCTATTAATAATGTTCTGATTTATATTAATAAAAAAGGATTATCATTTGAATATTTGGTCTTTAAGTTACAAGATCTTTGTTATTTAAGTATGAGATAGGAATCTTGTTTTGAGGATAGTCTTAATATCTCATTTATTGAAGATAATACAAGAACAAATAAGACAATTATCTCATACTAACAACACAATATAACATAAAAAAACATCCTTACTTTGTAATTAAAAAACGAGGATTTCATCTCCTAAGAAATGCTGAGTCATAATTACAAATTAAAACATTTTCTGATTGCAATGCTCTTATATAGTTTCCAGACCTGATTCATTACTTATTGATCAGAAAACCCTGAAATCTGCACTTCTTTTAGACAATCACAAATAATGATGCTGTGATGAAGCAGCTTTGACATAGATTGGAGAAACTTTCTAGTTTACGCCTCTTATAAAATCATCACTTTTCTACAGACCTTGCACTGATGAAAATGAAAACACAGCTTTAAATGAGATAAATCATTTATAGAAGTCTCTGCCATCGTACAGCTTTCTTAGAATAAGGACAAGAAGATATGACCTTATATACAGGGGTGCACATAACTGGTACGCATGCGCGGCAAAAATCTGAAATGCGTACCGTCACTTGTGAAGCTTTTCCAGAGACGGGCCGTTTCTCCATGTCGAGTACACCTGCTGCAGAACCACTATTTCAAGTATACTACGTCATCGAGTGGCGCCGAAGGACTGTTTGAATGCATGTTAAATGCCCAGCACTCGATGACATCATGGATGTATAATAAGAACTGGATACAGCGTGGGAGGCGGGGCCTCATTCATTCCTATGAGAGCTGCTCATTAGCGCATGATGATAAAATGGCCCAACTTTTGAGAGAGTGAAACGTCACAGATTACCCAGCATGCCTGAGAAGTACCCGTATGTGCACTCATAGAGCATGCGCAACTTTAACCAAAATGCTCGTTCACATCAAGCACGTCAATTTGCGTACACGTAACAGCACCGCACGTTCATGACAGCATGGTAATAGATTGTTGTTATCATGGATTTGATATTAACGAGGCGGCAGTTAGCAGCTAGCGGCTAGCTAGTAATGATGCTAATGTACACATCAATCGTTATGTACTTATATTACGCTGTAACAGGATCTAGTGATATCCAACAGAGCTTCATTTAGCATGAAATAATTATTGCACTGTATCTATATATATATATATATATATATTTATATATAGCCTATTTATATACAGTGCAATAAGCTTCTTAGTGCAATACGAAGCTACAGGGACGTTAATAATGTCGGTAATATTAACTTTATTTAATACAACATTTACGGTACAAGATTTAATCATACAGCCCATGTAGTATGATAATGAATTACAGCAAACATGTGCAATATATCCATTATTACAGC